GCTGGCAGAGCGGAAATACAATTGAGCAAGAGATTCCAGGATCAGGCCCAAGACAACTTTGACAACTGGTCAGTCATCAGTGAGCCCCAGATAGGGGAGAAAGATGCCATGGACTCCACAAAGGAAAGAGATACACAAGCAGAGGCGCGCCTGCAAAACTAAGACATGGACAGAACAGAAGCAGGCGTAGCACCCAGAAAAATCAAACAAACAAGAAGTGGGAGGCTGGTGCAATGACCAGCATACCTGGATGACTATGAGCTCTAAAGAACACAGCAAACCAGCGGTAAAGGCTCCGTCTCCATGGTGGGCTATGTGCTAGCAACCTCTGTCCCAACCAGGGGAATAACTTAATAGATTTCATAGACATTAGGGCTGGAAGGGATCTCGGAAGATCATCAAGTCCAGCCCCCTGCCCCAGGGGCAGGAAGTCAGCTGTGGTCAAAGGAACCCAAGAAGATAAACATCCAAATATTTCTTAAAGGAGTCCAGAGTAGGTGCTTGCACTACCTCTGGAGGCAGTCTGTTCCAGGTCTTGGGGGCTCGGACAGTGAAGTTTTTCCTTATGTCCAGTCTGAAAGTTAAGTTAATTAGCCGTTTTGAACTGTTGAAAGAAAAGATGTAACAATATGTATGGATCTCAGAGGCAAAACTAGCAGCAGCAGAAAGAAGGAGTCCGAAGGAGGAACAGGAAGTGAGGGGGAGGAGACAGGAAAAAACGAGAGTTAGAGAGGCTGGGGGAGAACAGTAGGCCCTGTAACAGCTCTGTAAGAAACTGCTATAATAAAGACAGTGTTTATATTAAGTAGGGAGCTGTTCCTTGATTACCCATACAGGGTCACATGAAACAAAGAGAGTAAGTTCAGATGAGAAAACTGGAACAAGCTGATGTTAAACAGTTTGCAAAGGGTCACAGTGTCACAAACAGAATCCAGGTTTTCTGGCTCCCAATCTGTTGTTCAACTATTATACACATCACCTGCCAAAGTATTTCATCACTTATCAGAGCATTAACTCAGGCAGTGAGGCAACAGAAGGACATGTAAGGAAGAATGTACTGTAAAAGGTAGTATTATTTTAGGACTGTACACAAATCTTTGAGATTTTCATCAGTCATTTGAACAGATAGATGTCTCTGAGAGATTTTAAATCTTCTGTAACAGCCAGCTTTTCATGTAGATTTTCAGTACCAGAAAAATTATTTCCTAAAAATTTCACTTCCCAGCCTATTCTGTAACGTTTGCTTTTCAAACTGGCACTTCCTTTTTTCCTGCAGTGAATGGAAGCAGGAGTCTGACAAAGAAAATACTATTCAAATACTTGAAATCAATTAGAGTATAGATTTGATTAAGGAATGTTCATATGAATAAGGATTTCAAGGATCAGGCACTTCTACTTTTTGTGACAATATGACAGTCCACCCTTGACTCTGTAGGATCTTTGAAAGACAATAAGGATGGAATTAAATAATTAGTCAAACCTGGATACAACATGAAATTGATATACATGTATAATTTTAAAAGGTGGGCAAAAAGGGTGTTTCTGTCCAGAGGCTATATACAGGTATATTCTGTAAACAAGAAGGCATAATAGCTTGTGTCCCCTGTGCCTGTGCAGAGCATACTGAAGAATTATGGTCTCTAAAAGTACTTCATGTTAGCTAAATTGTTGGAATTCCTCACAACTTAGTGAAGTATTAGAGGAAGAAGTTGTGTAAACTTATGTTAATTCTGCAGATTTTATACTGCATATTTATGTAAAGTTTTAAATGTGGCTTTTCTATTTTGAAGGTTTGCAAAAGAATTCTACCTATAACACTTGAATTATAATTTCCAATTTGAAACAAGAGATATTTACAGGGAAAACTTAACAAGTTGAATGAACCCTCATAGCATCTGGAATCCAAATGTCAGCCATCTAATACAGTTCCATAAAGTACATAAGACTCTAGCAGAGAAAATAATAATTAATAAAATGGAACACCATTTTGTTGCATGGTGCTTTTTAATGCCTCTGTGAAAACTGGAACTCAGTAAAATATTTCTAGTTATAAGATACTTACAAACAGTACCGTAGCAAGGGAGGGGCAAGTGGGGTGACTGCCCTGGGCTGGGTGGCACACAGGACAGAGCGGTGAGCGCCTTGTTTGGGGAGGGGATGGGGATGGGGTAGCTCCCGCTACTGTGTGCACCCCTGGGGCAAGCATGGGCAGGGAGCATGTGCCCCCCCGGATCTATGCATGGGGCGAGGGCAGGCTGTAGTTGTGGGCTTGTCCTGGGCATCAAACTTCCTTGCTACGGCACTGCTTACAAACATTGCAAGTCATTCAGATACAGAATTGATTATATCACTAAACACTGAGCAATAAAGTAACGTGCACTTTAATACTTGAGCATGATGAGAAATGTTAAGAATGGAGGCTTAATGTGAATACAGAAAGTTCTTGCTTTGTGCCTTTTGTTAGGATATTATTATCCATTATCATATTGATTTTATTTTATAAAAAAGCATTCCATAATGAACAGTGGCTATTCTGTTGAACAGCTCAAAGCAAAAATTCACAGTCACAAATAAGACAGAATATGACTGTGAAACAGCAAAAAGAAAAAAAAACACGTAAAAATATATATAAAACTAGAATTACCCAGACCCTCAGGAAGAAGTGAACATTAACTCAAATGCGTTTATCTCAGACCAGCCATTTAGAAATCAGAGTTTAGGACCTGAGCTGCCTGGGTAGGTACTGGTTATGGTGCAGAAGCAGCAGGCTAGCGTAGCCCCTGGAGAAGAGTGCTTCACATTACTTCTGGGAGATTCCCTCTGGCTGACATGCAGAGTGGTAGTGCCAGGTTCCAGAGGGATCCGTGTTTAGCTCTCTTAAGACCTCTTAATCTTGCAAATACTTATGCACGTGAGTAACTTCAACTTGCATGAATAAGGTTAAGTTTTTCCAGGGTTTGTGAGATGTCAGGCCTCTCGTTGTCAATGCTTGTAAACATAAAATTGGAAGAACTCTCCCAAGCTGCACCCTTCTTCCAAAATGTATAATCTAATTGGATGAACATTTGCCACATTTTTATATCTGAATTTGTTTGAAAAGTTATAGACAGCTGCCAATATTTCTGGTTGTCTTGAATATGGGGGATGGAGGTTTTAAAAAAAAACCTCAGTAGTCATAATCTCGACTAGAAGATTTTCTAATACTTCAAAATAATTTCCATCATGTATAAAAAGGCAGAGGTAATTTATTTCTCAGAAATCATAGGAGACGGAGGGAGCATACTTATGAGTCATCCTAATTCCATCTTGGTGCTTTTCTGCATCTACAAACTGCTTTGCTCAATTTGTAACTTTCACAGAACTTCTGATGCTTTTAACAGTTTTATATTTGGTACAGCTATATATTATTCTACTGTTATATGGATCACTGACCAATGACTTTCTGGTGTTCTTGATTTTCTAGTCACATTGCTCCAGAACATGCAAGTTTATCACTTAGTATGTGATCTCTATGAGCTGGAAAGATTCAAAACATATGGCAGATCAGATGTTGGGCTTGGGGGAAATCAAAAATTAAACTGTCTCTGAGCTGTTGAGAGGCTCCTTTGCTATATATTTTATGTGATTTGTGTGTATGTGTTGAGGGAAATGCCACCTAGGGAAGGGAATCTAAGAAAAAATAGCTTTAAAAGTGAACTGTTTGTATTATTGGTTTAAACTTTAAAGTCTGGTCAGCTAAAAGCAGATGTTGCAAACTATGATGGAAACTTGCCTGAGGCCAGAAAAACTGGAGAAGGCATTCTCTAATAGTAAAAAAAAAAAAACATTCTTTCTGAAATGAGAATGTATTATAAGCATAAAGTTGATATCCTTTAACTTGGTTTTCTATTCCTTCCTTGAATTTTTAGATCACTGAGTAAATAATGCTTTTAGTCTCAGAATTTGATTTTATGATTCATTAGCAATTCTGAGTGGATTTCTACCAACTTACCATAAAATCTTTTGTGGTATTTTTTGGTGTCCAGTATCATATAAACATCATATTGGAATAGGAAGTATGAATGAGCTGAATTTTATCCTTGGATGCCTACTCAGTTTTTATAGAGGTAGATGTGAGTGTGTGCAAAAACATGGTGTAGGTTTTGGCATAATTTCACACAATACCATTCTGATGCAATGAGTACGTTCAGGGCTGAAGTTCCTATTAAGAAAATTATGAGAAATATATGCAGGCATTTGGAAAATGAATGTAACTTTTAATGTATTTTTTAATTTCACCAGTCCTCTAAAGTATCTAAGGATATGGTTAAATTACATGTACAAATATTTTTAAAGAATTTTAAATAGAAAGTAACATATTAAAAAATATTTTCAAGAAGGTGAAAAGAAAAAATTGGATGATAAAAATTATTTGTGGTGAAATCATCAATCAGTCTAAGAAAATCTTCAGTCACTTTTTTCATCTATTTATGTATGAGGCAATGTATGCTTACAGTATCTCCCTTGGTATTGTTTGTTGGATGCTAGACCGGTCCAAATCAGTTAAAAATGTAATTACCTTTGACAGTATTGCAATTAATTTTCCAGTTTACTATTTGGTATATAAAAAAAGCAATGCCCCAAGAAGTGCAATCCATAGTATCTAATTAAGGGGGGAGGGAGGATCTGTTTTCATATCAGGTAAGATATTTTACCTGATATTGCTTAAATTTCATTAGAAAATTCAGAGGCTTTTTTCCCCTTTCACTTTCAGCAGCAACAAGAAATATATATATATATACACACACACACTCTGCGTGTTTTATATTTTATATGGTATGGGATCTCTAGGAGCTGGGAAGATTCAAAACAAATTCCCGAGTGATGTCCTATGTACCAATCTAACATAATCTACCCATCTTTTGATCGATACATCTATAACCTATCCATCTTTTGATCAATGACGCTAAATAATGAACATCATTGACTTAAAGTCTAACTTCATTTACAGGTGAGGAGAACCGGTCAGAGCCGGGCCGGGCCGCGCCTGGACTGACAGTAGACCGGCCCGGCCCGGGGTGCCGGGGACCGAAACGGACACCAGCTTTACCTCAGCCCAACTCAGCGGAAGCATCTGGTCCTCCGTACCTGTGTGATGGTACCGTCTCCCTGCTTTGTGCACGTGTCTTTTTGTTGCTCGTATTTTGTTCAGTGACTGCTGAGTTGGGCATTGTTTTTCAGGCCCCGGGCACAGGTATTTTTGCACAAAGGTGGATTTTAGACTTTGCTTGGGAAGGGAAAGGGGCGAGCTATGAGGGCTGCCCGGAGGCAGGGAGCTTTGCCTCCAGGCCCTCAGCAGCCCAGTCAGGCCGGCTCCGGCTAAACACCCGAGGCGCGAATCTACAGACCCTGAGGAACCGGCCACTGTCGCGGCCACGTGTCGCCTCCGCTCAGCCGCCCCCGGGCCACCCCTGGCTCGGCGCTGTCGGCCGCCATCTTGTGTGGCGCGGGGGCGCCTGTTTTCCCGGGCTGTGCGCGGGGCGAGCCAGAGCTGAGGTAACCGCGAAGGCACCTTGTGTCGAGCCGCAAGAGCGGGCGGCGGCCGGGGCCGCCCTTGTAGCGCGGAGGCGCGGGCACCACCTGCGTCTTCGCGAAGGAAGCCAGTCATCAAGCAGCCCTGAAACGCGATTTTGCTGCGGATCCAAGCCTGGCCCCTGCTCCTGCCGTCTTCCCCCCCACCCCCGTTGCTTTTCCTCTCCCGCAGGCAGGGCACGGGGAAGTGTCTGCCCTTCCGACCTAACCTAGGGGTGCCTTTCGTGCGTCCACTGCCATGTTCAGCCTATAAACGTCTCCCCTCCGAGTACTGTCTGGTAAGGGGGATCTTTGCTTCATCGTTAGCCTTCTTCTGCTCACCCAGCAGCAGACCTGTGTGTGGGCAAGGCAGGGTTGCACATCAAGATGAACTGGTTCAGAGGCATGAGTTTTCCTAGGCTTTGTTTCTGACTTTGTGTGCAACCCAGGCTCCGAATGTTTCAGTGGGGCTGCTCCTGGGAGTGTAGAGAAGTATTTGCATCCAAAGGCCCATGTACTTTACAGTAAAATGTTGATTATATGGAACCTCAGTTAACCAGAAGATTTTATACTGTGCTAACCAAAACAAATGTTGTTTTTTCTTTTCTTCCCTGCGCCCGCACCCCTTGGACAAGCCTCCTGCACTTCCATCCTGCACCCCACCACCACCGCCCTGGCTGTGCAGCACTTGCCCGTGCCTCAGCTCCACTCCGTCCCTCACCATGGGGGCCTCAATCTGCCCCCCCCATGCACCCTTTTACTCCAACAGACTTATCAGCCGGAGGCTGCTCTCCAAGCTGCCCGGCTGCATATCGGCAATCCGATTGGTATCAGCCGACATGGCTGGTCAGCTATATCAGCGATTGGTATTGGCCCAAAAAATCTTTATCTGTGCACCCCTACTTGTTAGCAAGACAACTGTTTATTGCGTAGTGCTTTGAGATTTTAAAATGGCACAGTGATTTAAGTGGAGTGTGACAGTTACGCATTTAATCGTGGAACCAAAATAAAGGTATGTTTCTGTCTGGAGCAAAAAAGTTGAGATTATAGAGAAGCTAAAGAAAGAGGCATAAGCCTTAAAACTGTCAGATGAGTACAACGTCCGTCTTTTAACAGTTTACAGTTTGACAGAAAGCAGTGCATCTGTTATAAACTCTGTCAATCATGGACAGTGAAGGAGGATGTGAAGTGAGGAAATACATGAAAGGGCAGAGAATGCTACACTAGAAGATGCAGTTCATACATGATTTATTCAAAAGAGTTTAGGGGGGAACCAATACCTGTGCCACTTTTGTGTGACAAAGCCCTTGAGCTAAATCAAAAACTCTGACTATCAAAGCCAGCACTGAGTGTTTAAAATGGTTTGGCAACCTTTTCTGGCCATGGACCAGAGTGACCCACCCCAGGTCAGAGGTGGGAGGGTGCAAGGACCCACCTGCAGCTGGTGCTTGTCCCTGCAGCAACCCGGGGACCTGGGGAGAGTGACTGCCACTGAAGCCTCACATCTGTGTGCCAGATTTAATGGTTCTGTGGGCCAGATCCATCCCATTGGCCGTAGGTTGTTGACCCCTGGGTTAAAATATTTCAAGTTGTCTCTTAGATTCAGGGAACTGGAAATGCAAAGGGAAAAACTGTCTGTCAGCCAACCAGTAGTTGATTCATTCAAAAGGGTTTTTTTCTGGAAAGTGAAAGATATGACAGAAATTGTTTACAACACAAACAAAACCAATCTAAATTAGAAAGCTTTGCCTCAAAAGACCTTGGCCTCAAGGTGGGAAGCAACAGTTCGGGGGCATAAAGTAAGCAAAGATTGTATTAGTCATGATGTGTGCAAACTTATGTGGCTCTATAGGTCTTGGATTTTTTATTGTTAAAAATTCTGAGGTTTCCTTGTACTTTTAGAAGTGTTGCAACATTTTCAGTGACATACAGAAGTCAGAAAAGTTCTTGGGTTGACAGTAACCGGTTTCAGGATTGGGGTGTAAACATGTTCATTCCAGAAGTTCCAAAGCATCAGAAGAAAAACAGAAGGGATTGAAACGTTTTGCTAATGTTGAACCATTCCATCCATGTGAGGTGAATAAAGCAAATGAGAATTTCAAGGTTATTTTCCTCCTGTCAAATATTATGCTTATTCTTCAACCAATGGATCGAAGGGTGACTGTTTTCTAGCAGAAAACAGCTTCTGTGTTAGTTGTTTCTTATTGATGGTGATAATGAAGGAATGACTAATTTTACCAAAACATGGACCTATAAGAAGCCTCGTACACAATAGCAGACACTTGGACACCAGTATCATGAGTCATATTGTTCTGGGCCTGGAAAAAACATGTAGCCACCTGCCATGACACAAAGGTAATGATGATGCTAAAAGAAACAGAGGATCCTGCCTTTATATTGGAGTGGATCAACATGTTAGGCAACTCTCAGTTGTGAAGAGTAGCATGAAAATGTAGGTAGTTAGCTTTCCCTTGATGCTGGAGATCCAGGGTCCAACCTAATGCTCTCAGAGGTGCTCTTATTAAAGTCCCCAACTCTCCCCGACATCTGCAAAGCATGTGTAAAAACACCCTAAGTGTTCTGGATAATTGATATTCTTTTGTAAAGGGATTGGTGGGGGAAGTAAAATATAGGTTGTTTATATATTTGTTAGAAGAATCATTCTTTTTGATTGTAAAAGGGCACTCGAAAGGTTTTTATTTGAAACACTGAATTTCATAGCTCTACAATTTGCAGATAGCTCTGACTGTGTGCTGCACCTACAGCATTGTATTGTGAAGTTTTCACATTTTACTAGAAACACTCCTGTGGTATGTTTTGAAGTTTTGCAAGAAGGGCAGATGGAAAATAGTTTTCAAAAATGTTATTCATCACTGACAGTACACTGACAGTACACTGTTCTAGGAGTACTGTTAGAATATTAAAAGTGATTTTTTTAAAGATCTGATACACTTATTATCATTCATACTTGCTATCTTTTGTACTTTATATGAACAATGAAAGACAGTTTCTTTTATTTTATCATCTGATTTGGCTGTTGTTTTTCATGTACTTGCATAGTATTTTATCTGGATGTTCAGCCCATAAAAGTTTATTATTTTATTTTACTTCAGTTTGAGATTTGAACAATGGATGAAACACTGACCACATTGAAATTGATGGGAGTTTTGGCATTAAACTTCTACAGAGCTAGGTGTTTGCCTAATAAAAGCCATTACATGCATAACACACTGTGTTTTTAGTAACAACCAAAGTTAGTAACTAAATATGTTATACTAAACAATATGAACTATCATTAGCTCTTTAACTACACTTGCAGTAGGGTGAGGGAAATTCTTTAAAACATAGTTTTATCAGGAAAACCTTTTTAACATATGGAATTTTAAATAGCCTATAATGTTGAAGAAAATAGTTTAAAAGTATGTATGTATGTTAAATAACAAAAATCCGTCTCTGGACTTGAATTTTCAGACAAAACTCATTAAGGTTCTAGGATTCAAGCCACATCCATTTTCCAGCTATGTAATGTGTTCCTGTGTAGAAAGATTCTGACTCACTTATAACTTAAGAATTATACGCTTTAAATAATTGAATAGTTTATTTGGGTTTTTTTTAAAGGCAGCAGAATTTGGACCAAAGAAATTAGAGGGCCATTTGTAATGAAAATGAAAGAAAATCATACAATAGGAAATGTATAAAATTTATAGTCCAATAAAAATACATAAACATATTTTTAAAAGTTTCCTTTTTATTTCTGAAGGTGACTTTTCAAAGTTCTAACTGCACAGCGTTTTTTCAAAAGAAGAAAAAACTAAAACCAGGTATGTCTTAGAAAATCCGATATTTGTGATAAAATGCTTTGTGCATATTGTGGAAATTTGGTTAATCACTAGAATACAGGTACAGATTGATTAGGCCTTTGTCTTGCAAGTCTTCAGTACATACTTAAGAATGCCCATTGACGTTTGTAGGATTAAGTCATTATTTTTTGTCACATACTACTCTCAAAATTTTGCTTAGGAAAAGGGTTGCTTTTTTGCTTTGTTTTGTTTTTTGAAGCAAGACTGATGACACAAAAACCAGAGATGTAAAAGAAAATAAAGCTAATCAATACACTTATTTTTATTTGGTTAGAAAATATTGTGGTTCTTCATATATGTATCATTTTCTACAGTACCATTCCATTACTCATTGTACTGCTTTTACAGTCTAATGAAAATTCATATTTGATTTCAAACAATGCTGGCATCTACAAACGCTGTCTTTTCATTGGAAAGTTTATTTTATGAAACACCAGATACAAAGCAAAAGTAAGTCTTACCTTGTTGAATGTACATAAGTGTTTGTCTTCCTTTTCTGTACTTTGAGCCATTTGACAATAGAAAACAATTGTGGAATTATTTCCCCTGGAGCTGCAAAAAAAAGGACTTGGAACTTGCAGGTTTAGAACCCCATAATGTTTTGTAATAGTCAAAGTACACTGAATAGCGTGACTTTGCACTTATGCTTATATTGTATACAATATTAATCTTAAAAGCTATGGATTAACTGAAATTTTACCTCTTTAAATTTACTGCAACATTTTAAAAATTAAAGGGAAGAATTAGGAGAAGAAATGATCAGTTTGTTGCTTAAGATTAAGTTTTGAAATTAACTTGGAGAATGCAAAAGGAATTCCTTTACTTTGTATTCTTTGTAACAGGTATCTAGAAAATACAGGACCAAAAAATTGGTTTCTTGCTCCTGTTCCATCTATTGCTGAAATTCCAAGCGCTCAGGAGCTAGAGAAGGAATTGGAAAAAAATAACCATCTAGGTAAAATATATGCAATTCATTTTTTATTATGCAAACAAAATTAGAAGATAAATATCTGTATTCTCCCTTGCTCCATATGTGGAGTGTTAATGTGAAAAATGCATGCAAATTTAGAAAAATAAAATCCCTGGTTCAGGGTAAAAATATTATTGTTCATGTTCTTATGGGGCAAAGGAAGTGGAATCTAGACATAAGTCTGCTGAGAATTTCAAAGACATGAGGTTGTCGTGATAGTCATATACAGCCCTTGGTGTAGAGATTTGCAGTGTGTGGGAATTGGCATTTTGGGAGAGGAGAAGCATGCCCATAACTTTATTGGTTCTGGGTTGTGGTACAGAAGCATAGGAGACTGTGAGAAGCAGCTGTAAGAATGTGCTAATCCCCTTCTGGTTTATGGACCAGCACAGCATTCAGGAAATACAGAGATGATATAAATCAACCTTTTTCTGTCCGTATTTGGTGTGAGCCTCGGAAGCTGTACCACTCATGAGGGACAGCTTAGCATCTGCCTCAATAACTTTTATAAAGAATAACTTTTTCAGTTTTATCCTTTGGAGTTTCCACTATGGGAAATTCTTCCCATGAAATGTTAGTGCTCCACAGTCAAAAAATAAACTTGTGCAGCTAAATAAAGTTACTTAGGCTGATGAAAATAAGCTCTTAATAAGCTATTACGTAGATATCACAAATAGAGAGACTTTATTTTTTGGTTACAAATATATGCCATTAAATTACGGGATGGTGACTAATTCTGTCATTCACAACTTACAGGCGTAACCCAGAAGTGTGGCATAGGGACTATAGCTCTTGTTCTTACTAAGAACTTGAGGATTGATCTATGTTTTATAACGGGGTTGCTCAACTGGCTGCCTATGAACTGCATGTGGCCCCCAAAGGGTTAAGCTGCAGTCTCCAGGCCTCTGGTCCGGACCACTCCCTCCCCACCATGCCAGCTGCTGCTGCTGCTTCTGCCAGTCTCCCCATCCCTCCTCCAGCTCCCATTTGTTGCCTCTGTCTTTGGGAGCAGGGCAGCACAGGTCAGAGTGGAGCAGCAGATGGAGTCTGCAGCCAAGGGACTTGGTGGATCCCAGAACTTTACATGATGTGAGAGTGCAGTTTAGCAGGGGGGTGCCTGCCACATGGTGGTAGGGGAATCTGGTGCAGTTGGGGCTATGAAGCATGAGTGTACAGTAGACGGTTGATGGCATGCCAGCAGGGATTTAGCTTCTTTGACCATCGAATGTTCTTCCAAGAAGAAGGATTGCTGGGAAGAGATGGAATCTATCTGATGAAGAGAGGGGGAAGAGTGTCTCTGCAGACAGGCTCGCTAACCTAGTGAGGAGGGCTTTAAACTAAGTTCACTGGGGGATGGTGACCAAACCCTGAGGTAAGTGGGGAAGTGGGAGACCTGAAGGAAAAGCAAGCAGGAAGGGTGTTTTCATACTTCCTGAAAAATCAGGGCAATCAACTAGTTACATCAGGTGCCTGTACACAAAGGCACAGAGTCTGGGAAATGAGTAGGAAGAATTGCAAGTCCTCACACATAAACCAGTCGGCCTCACCTCAGTCCCTGAAAAAATCATGGAGCCAGATCCTCAAGGAATCCATTTCTAAGCACTTGGCAGAGAAACAGGTGATTAGGAACAGTCAACATGGGTTCACCAGGGACAAGTCATGCCTGGTCAACCTGATTGCCTTCTGTGATGAGGGGACTGGCTCTGGATGCGGGGAGACTGGAGAATGTGGTATACTTTGATTTTAGCAAGGCTTTTGATACTGTTTCCCATAGCATTATCGTAGGCAAGCTAAGGAAGTATGGGCTGGATGAATGGACTGTAAGATGAATAGAAAACTGGCTGGAGCTTAAGGCTCAGAGTAATAATCAATGGCTTGATATCTAGTTGGCAGCTGGTATTAAGAGGGGTAGGGGTAGGGGTAGGTCCTAAGGCCAGGTTTGTTCAGTGTCTTCATCAGTGACCTGGAAGATGGTATAGAGGGCACCCTCAGCAAGTCTGCAGATGACACCAAGCTGGCAGAAGTAGTAGATATGCTGGAGAGTAGGCCTAGGATTTAGAGTGACTTAGACAAATTGGAGTATTAGGCCAAAATAAATCTCATGAGGTTCAAGAAGGACAAGTGCAAAGTCCTACACTTAGGATGGAACAATCCCACGTACCAGTACAGGCTGGGGGCTGAGTGGTTGGGCAGCAGCTCTGCAGAAAAGGACCTGGGGGTTACAGTGGATGATAAGCTGAATATGAGCCAGCAGTGTGCCCTTGTTGCCAAAAAGTCTAATGGCATACTGAGCTGCATTGGTAGTTGTGTTGTCAGTAGTTCAAGGGAAATGATTATTCCCCTCTATTCAACACTGATGAGGCCACATCTGGAGTACTGTGTTCAGTTTTGGGCCCCTCACTACAAAAAGGATGCGGACAAATTTGGCAGAGTCCAGCGGAGGGCAACAGAAATGATGAGGGGCCTGGGGGACATGACTTATGAGGAAAGACTGCAGGAATTGGGCTTATTTAGTCTAGAGAAGAGAAGACTGAAAGGGGATTTAATAGCCTTCAACTATCGGAACAGGGATTCGAAAGAGTATGGAGCTAGATTATTCTCAGTGGTGGCAGACATTGGTGATGCATAGGAGGTGCATGCAGGTGCGTGTGCACCCCCTGAAAGAAGTGCTGGCAATGCTGCCAGTGGTGCCTGCGGGCAGTCGCTGCTTGCCACTCTCCCCTTGCTGCTGACACTGCTGGTGGTATCTGCAGGTGGTCGCTCATCACAGCTGCTGGTGGTGCCTGCGGGCAGTCGCCGCTCACCACCCCCTCGCTCCCCCCCCTGGCAACACCGCTGTGGCCGCCTGCGGGAGCTCCCCGCTCACCACTGCCACCACTGCCTGCAGGCAGTCGCTGTGCCCCCCCCAGCCTCCGGAGGCATGCAACTTTGGCTGGGATGATCTAGTTGAGGCTGGTCCTGCTTTGAGCACAGGGTTGGACTAGATGACCTCCTGAGGTCCATTCCAACCCTAACTTTCTATGATTCTATAATGCAGTGAAGGAGTGGGGGGTGCCTCTGCACTGGGCGTGCCTGCATGGTGCTGCACAATGGCGTGTGACCTGTGGTATGCAGCCCATCCCCCAAGCCTCTTGGCTACTCAGAATTTGGACAGCCCTGGTCTACAACATCCCATTTCTAGAATTTCCTCCAAGTTTTGGAGGTGTGATTGGGCCCGTGACCTACTACTATTCACTGTAATATAGAAACTACAAGTTCGAGAGCTTTTATTAATAGCTAAGCCTGTTAATATAGAAGTGCTGTGACCCCAGTTGCATTACAGTTTGTCCAGTTTTTTCAGTAGCCTGGTATCTTTTGTTTGTTTGCTAGGGTGGGTAGATTTTACAAAGAGAAGGATAACCTGCTAAAGATAGCCATTATTCCATGCAGATCGTGAAGTTTTTCATGTATGAAGTTTCAGTTGTCTTTGTGACAAGTGGGAAATGACTTGAGAGCAATCTTTTTCACCTGTGTAAGTTCGGAATATATATGATCATCTCTGCTTCATATTGCAGAGTGTCAACTGACCTGATTTTTGGGAAGCTTTTGGGTGACTGCATGCATCTACCTTGAATAGAAGGTTGAACTAGATGATTTCCTGGAGTCCCATGCAGCCCTACTTTTTCATGCTTCTGTGATGCATAGCAGTGGGTCTCAAACTTTTTTTTTCACGGAGCACTTGAAAATTGCTAAGGGTCTTGGCGGAACACTTAAACGTCTTTGTTCTGCAAATCAAAGCACACAACTCATATTTTAATATTAGTAGTCTTACCTTACAAGTACAGATATTCTTGATTGTTTTGCAACCTTTCTGTGGACCACCTGAATGGAGCTTGTGGGTCAGTGGTGGTCCGTGGACCACAGTTTGATAACCTCTGATCCATAGGATAGACATTGAGAGAGTAATAGAAAAGTACTTCTAATATGTATAATATATATTAAATTGATCCCATTTTACATAGAGATGTAATGATCTGATCAAATATTTTATCAGATATTTGATGGGTTATGTTGATATATCACAGCAGATTAGACCCCATTTTATGAGAACTATTAAAAAAGAAACTTACAAAATTTCAGCACAAATTCCTTTTGACTTGACCTCTAACAAGCAAGAAGTACTTGAGTTAAGTTTAGGAAAAGGAGATAAAAGTCATTTGCAACATGAAAGTCTGGAAGTTGTTTCATCATTTCCATATTCTGACCATGAAAAATATAAAAATGAAATCAGGCCTTGTCAACAACCTGATAGAAATATTTCAGAAACGAGAAAATTAATTAATTTTCCAGAAGATGATGAAAGTACCAACTCAACTTTCAGAAAAAGGTATGTGTTTTAAGTCAATCATCATAATTCATCAGCTATCAAAATCATATTATTATTTTAGATGCATTTGTCAAATACAGAGTTTTTGATCCTTGAAGTGAAAGTACTTAATAGAGCTCCAGGCAGTAATGTCGGGATTCCTTTGAATGTAAGAAAAAACACATATTCCCTCTTGGCAGTATTTTAGTACAGTAATTAAATTTGCCCTGAGCTCAACTGCTTCTACAAAAAAGTTAGGCATGGGGTTTATTTTATTATTTTAGAGAAAGTACTGAGTTGCACAAGCATTCTTAGATGCTAAAATGCATCCATTTGAAAGAGAGCTAGAAGACTCAGAATGCCATTTACATGTTCAGAGATCAAGTGAGCCAAGACTGTCCAGAGAAACCCTCTACACAATTTCAATGCTGCCTAAAAAGAGAGGTCGTAAATAGAAGCACCTCTTTGATGTCAAAGCTATTACTAATTGTCACAGCCTTTTAAACTTCATTTTTTCAGTTGTGCAGTGTAGCAGTTAGTCTAGTGTTAGGATCTAATATCTCTCCTGCATGGAAGCAAAGATGAGTTTAATAGTTTGCCTATGTGAAGTGAGTTAAAAAATAAAAAGAACTTTTCTAGGTGGAACTTCAGTTGGATCAAGTAAAGTAAGATGTGCGCTTGCCTAGAAAAGACAATTTTAATTTTTGTACTTAGATTTCCACAAACAAAATATATGTATCAAAATGTATATTCTTTGAAAATATCGGGAAATATATGATATATAGAATAACAAGTATTTTTGTGTAAATACATCTTTTTCAGCTTATTTAAAACAACTGATTTTACATATGCAAATATAGAACATAAAGATAATTTCCTTCATGGCAGTGGAACTGACATTTCTTGTAAGATAATTAAAAATGTAAAAGAGACTAAAAAAGAAGTGTTATAGAAAGATAATAGTATGCAGGTACTTCAGTATTCAGATTTCAATCTGCATAGTGTAAATGATGTATTTTCTGCTTGTGAAAATGGAAAAGGAGTCAAAGTACAATCATTTCTTCATGTTTCAGAGACTTCAATGTGGAAGGTGATTATAACTAGTCTTCATAATATTTCAGAAGAATATTTTCTGTGCTGTTTTGATGTGATATATGATGAATATTCATGTTCTAATGCGAAGGAGGATTCAACATATGTACAATAAATGTTACGAATTGTTGCATAAGATGAAGTAGAAAGACCACCAAGTCAAGAAGTAGCTTCATAGTTGGTAGGGTTGGAAGGGACCTAAGCAGATCATCAAGTCCTACCCCCTGCCATGGCAGGAAAAAGTACTGGGGTCAAATGACCCCAGCAAGGTGATCATCCAGCCTCCTCTTAAAGACCCTGAGGGTAAGAGCCAGCACCACTTCTCTTGGAAGTTGGTTCCAGATCCTAGCTGCCCTGACAGTGAAGTAGTGCCTCCTGATATCTAGCCTAAATCTACCCTCTGCCAGCTTGTGACCGTTATTTCTTGTCACTCCTGGGAGTGCTGGGGGGAACAGGGACTCTCCCAGTGCCTGCTGGTCCTGCCTGACTAGTTTGTAAATGGCCACTAGATCCCTCCTCAGCCTTCTCTTGTGGAGGCTGAACAGGTTCAGGTCTTGTAGCCTTTCCTCATAGGGCCTGCCCTGCTGCCCCCTGATCATGTGAGTGGCCCTTCTCTGGACCCTCTCCATCATGTCCACATCCCTCCTGAAGTGCGGCGCCCGGAACTGGACGCAGTACTCCAACTGTGGCCTAACCAGTTTCTCATAGAGGGGGAGGATCACCTCCTTGGACCTGCTTGAGATGCATCTGTGGATGCATGACAAGGTGTGGTTGGCCTTCCTGACTGCGTCCCCACACAGTTGGCCCATGTTCATTTTGGCATCAATGATGACTCCAAGATCCTTTTCTGCCTCTGCACTGACAAGAAGATATTTCCCCAGCCTGTAGGTATGGTGCTGGTTCTTCCTCCCCAGGTGCATCACCTTGCACTTGTCAGTGTTGAAACCCATCCTGTTCTCATCCGCCCACTCCTGTAACCTGTCTAGGTCCGATTGCAGCCTATTCTTCCCATCTAGTGTGCCCACATCCCCCCACATCTTAGTGTCGTCTGCGAATTTGAACAGTGTGCTTTTTGCCCCCTTGTCCAAGTCACTGATGAAGATGATGAACAATGCGGGCCCGAGGACCGAGCCCTGTGGAACCCCATTGCCCACATCCCTTCAGGTCAAAAATGACCTGTCTACCCACTCTCTGGGTGCAGCCCTCCAGCCAGTTAGTGACCCATCTGACTGTGTAGGTGTTGACGCCACAGTCCCCTAGTTTTTTAATGAGAATGAGGTGAGAGACAGTGTTGAAGGTCTTCCTGAAGTCCAGAAAGACTACTTCCACTGCTACCCCTACGTCTAAGGATTTTGTGACCTGGTCATAGAAGGCCACCAGGTTGGTCTGACAGGACTACCTCTAATGAAGTAGTCATTAGCAAGCTTCATCTAACTCAGATTAAACATACAGGTTTATTATAATTATATAATCTCCATCACTGGAGATTACATCATTTAGGGAATACCAGTATGTTAGACAATCACCTGGCTGGGATGGTGTAGACAAGGATTTCCTTAACCAATGATGGTGGATTACAGGGAGGGTATCAAACAGGGGACAGATCACTTCAGATGTATTTGTTTCAAGGCTGTCCCTCCATAATATCTATTTCTCCTACTGTTAGAGACAGGATACTGTGCTAGATGGATGGTCTGACCCAGTATGGCACTTAGGTTCGTTTTTAGGGTAGTTCTGCCTTGAGCAGGGTTTGAACTAGATGACCTCCAGAGGTCCTTTCCAGCTCTGTTTTTCTTTGTTTATATAATATAAAACTTTTTGTTCAGAGGTATTGGAAGTGGTGGTGGTATTAGCCTCTCTTTGTACAAAATCAGTTGCTGGGGTACTCCAACCAGAGCTGTCAAATCCTCCCATATCACCGCCATGCTGAGTTATAAGCTGGTGTGATAAGCATGATTGTATAATGGTATTTTGAAGGATATTGTTAGAAAACATTGATACCTATTTTTAATAATGTTGTTGCTTTTTTAAGGAGCTGTAGCAAAAAAAATGGAGGTCCTGAGAGCTGTTACAGAAATCCGTATCTTTTACATATTTATTTTTATTGTTACAGTTATATTTATTATAACTATTTTACATTTACAAAATAAATTATCATTTAAAATATCCCGTTTAGTTTCATTTTGCCCATGGGAGTCAATACAATTTATTGTATAGCTTTTGTTTCATAATAAGCTATGAATCAAATTATGAAATAACTTACATGTGTGGCATCCAAAACAGTGAAATAGGACAAATAAACATAGTTGATTATCCATTATCTAAGCAAATTTATTCTTTTTCATGTATTCACATTTTTATCTTCATAGAATCATTTGTTAATAAACACAATAGATTTAAAATGTCAAAGTGAAAATATTTACCTAGTTGAAATATATGTATTTCAAAAACAGCTAATGTAAATTAGCATTTAGATTCATCAGAAACCTAAACCTCATTTTTTGTCACACGAACCTCATTTTTTGTCACACTCTTTAAGTAAAAACAAGTTATTCAAACTTCATTTGATTCAATACTTACATCACCATGTGGATACAATATATTCCCCCCCAAAAATTTACTCTAAACATATTTTAACAGGCTTGCTCCCCTTTCTACCCTGAAATCCATACTATACTTACCTAGCCTTCTGTTTTTACCAAACTTTTGTTCTTCTTATGCTTTGGATCTATAGTATTTTGTCATGCTGCTAGGTTAAACATTTTGAGAAATGAATAGCGAAAATTACATTCCTAAATTCATATTTAAGTGTGTGACCTGGTTTTCCTAAATCCAACTAAGTATGTGACTTGGTTTTCCAAAACAGGGACCATTCTGTAGCTCCAGAGATGTTAATGAATGTTGCTAGGTCATCAAGTACATTTAAAACAAGCTGATTGTTTAGTGACCTACTTGGAGACCTACAACACTTTCGCAGCAGAATAAAATAACTTTATTCCATAGTAAAAATGGGGCATACACATGATGCACTGAGTCAGCAAGTGAAGAATTAGCTATATAGGAGTTATGTCCCCTTGTTTGCTCCCCTACTGAGTTTCACTTTTGGGATAGCCCATTTGTGCAATACAGACTGACTCCTCTGCCACCTAGTTGCCAAATGTGTTAGCACCTACTTTGGATAGCTTGAAAAAGCTGGTTGTGTTACTTGCTGAAGTCCAGGGTAAATTACTTTGTACTAATCTTGCAGTATGTCTGTCCTGAACAGAGGCACTTAATTTTGCAAATCTTGGTCCTCGTTATTGCAAGTGCACACTCAGTGGTACATACCTTTTGTGAAGTCTTAATTAGCCTTGCACGTAACTTGGTGTTTTCTTTTCATTGGAAGAAAAGTCCTAGTATGACCATTTCGTTTGTTTGTTACAACAGCAAATGAAATAGCAAAGCAGAAGTTTTAAAACATTATTTTTAAAATGTTTATTGGCATTTAGCCCTCTTTGAATCTGAAGTTTTTTGTGTTGTCAGAATAGGTATAGTACAGGCAGTACTCCAGTCTGCCCTATTAGACCTGTTCTGTGGAATAGAAGATAACTTCATTTGTGCTTCAGGGGGACCAATTAAGTGTTTTGTTTAGTCTCCATATCTGCTGCTTGGCATCTCTTGAGACTACCATTAGAGACCTTAATTAAAGCATCTTGAGATGGACTACTGTCCATAAGGAACTGAACTGAAACCATCAAATCATGTAATAAGTTAATTTTTGAGAATTGTCTGATAAATCTGTATCTGTGAACAATCCTTATTTAGGTATAAATGTATTTGCTATAGTTCTAAGGTAAAATAAGGATCTGTATTACATTCTTAACTGAGTTATTTGACGATGTTTAGCTTCTCCATTTAGAAATATTTTCAAGGATTTTCCATATTTTAACTACATACAATCCAAGGCTTTGGATGATGTAAGTATGGACTCTTATTTAATTGTATTAGCAAGTAGTACATAAAGCATTTAAATTAAGCATTTAATTTAAATGTAAGTAATACACAGAAGTGGCAAATGAGGTACACTATCTAAGGACTATAACTTTCAGGGACAAATGAGGAAAATAGTAATGAAATTTATCTAGAGAATGGTTCAGGATGAAATAAGCACTTTTACACATTTGGGTGTACTTATTTCAATAAATATTTATGTTAATTGTGATTCAGAAAACACGTTCACTTGTAGTTGAAAATAAAAAGCTTTTCCACAGCAAGTGTAAGAATCAAATTTTGGCAATTGAATAACATGGTTACATTACAGGAAAGTCCAGTCTTTTTTGGAAAAGGCTTTCTTACCCTTTATTTTTCCCCCAATATGTTCCCATTCTTTTATTCCCCAAAATTTAAATCTCCGTTTTGAAGCAACAGTCCTTCCATTTGCGGAATACTATTTGGTATTCCTGGGGGCTAGAGCAAGCATAGGTGTATGTATTAGAGATAGCAGACCCTGATTCAGCATAGCATTTAAGTCCTGTCCTTTAAACGGAATTGGAGTCTTAGGAAATTCTGTTTTGGCCTCATACCCATTAAATAACATTTTCCACAGAGAAACTGAGTGTTTGGGAAAATTAAAGTTACAGCCCAACTTGTATGTCTTTAAAATCCCTCCATATATGGATGAATAGTTTTCATATGTTTATGATGCTTCCTCTCTTTTTGTTCTCTTTTCTATCTTGTACATTTATTTTCTGCATACCAGTCCACTGTTTCAGTAAGGAAACTATATTGATTAATTCTAAGTTTATTTAATTTATGTATGAAAAGTAATCTTTGATTTTCATGAAAGAATGAAAAAAATCTTGCTTGTAGCTATACCCTATCATTATTTTACAAACAGAACTGTGATTTAAGGCACTAGGATTTTATATAACACCCATTAATCTTCAGGTGGTTCACAAGGTACCTAAAATGATTCAGTTACAAAATAAAGTTGCTGAAAACTCAGAATTCTGCTTATGATTTTATTACCAGTATTAGTATCTGTAGATACATAAATTACAAAAAGACAACTACTGGAATGTCTTTGAAGTTTTTGTTACAGAACAGTCAATACATCTTTATAATGAGCCTGTGTTTAATAGTAGTTGGATATTGACAATGGTTCATCTGTCATCTAAGACTAGAGACTAGCATTTTTGTGTAAATCTGTCATCTAAGACTAGAGACTGGCATTTTTGTGTTTATGACGACAATGTAGACATCACTGTGCAATCACGAGATGTACAGTACCTCTTTTATAAATGCTTCTGTGGCAGATGGGCATAGGGAAATGCATTCTTTCTTGATTGCTCTTTTGCCATTATTTAAAGTTCATATCTAATACAAAGTATCTAGTCTTTAGAAAATTCATACCGTCATACCAGCTGTCATTCACTATTGCATATATCATTTTAATAATAATCCCTTTTGTGCATTTCTTCTTGAATAGTTCTGTCAGAATGCATGAATAGGTATATTTAAATATCTTTTTTTTTGTAATTCTTTCCTAGCTTCTTTACACAGATAGGAATTTTGTGATTTGTGCTCCAACTGGCTCTGGAAAAACTGTAATGTTTGAACTAGCTATTACCAGGCTACTAATGGAAGTGCCAATGCCTTGGTTAAATATTAAAATTGTATATAGTAAGTATTAGACTAAGTTTACATAATTCAGTTTTAGTGGCAGTGATAGAAAATTATTTCGTCCTTTGCATTTCGTTACACACATTTATTGGCTTCTTTTAATAAGCTTGAAGTCAAATACATAAAGACAACATTTACTTTGTAAGACTCTTTCAGGATTTATCACTGTTTATTGTATTGCCATAATAGTTATTACAGTTAATGCTTATTAGTAGAAACACGAAGGCACCTCAGTGCTATGTTGTTCCTACTGGCTGTTTTTATTGTAGGTAGTCTTCTCTGAATACAAAGGACAGAAATTGTTCCCCAAAATGTTGCTTGTAAGAAGGGTATTGGTCTTACCAGTTATTGCTGTGAATGAGTTTCACTTGTACTGTTGTTTAAAACTTACATTGCATAACTGAGATTGAGGCCCTGTTATACTAGGCTCTGTCTGTACACAAATAGACAGTCCCTGCTACAAAGACATTCAGTAGTCAAAGGAGACATACCCCAAAATGTAGAGTTTGTAAATTAATAAAATATAATTGGTGTAACAGAGAGCAGTCACATACATATTGTTGTCATCTTGGGGTTTTTGTTTCTGGAGAATGGAATTAATATCCTCTTGCATATCAAGTGAGATGGGTGATTTCATGCTAGTTTTAATGTGTCCATATTTTGATACCACTATAAAGCTTGACATAATTGAATATATTTGTCATTCTTACACATGGTTGGCCTTTGTTTTACAAAAGTTACTAAGTTAGTTTAGATATGAAATCTATGTATTGTAAGCAAAGAAAACCTGTCAGATATTTGTACTATAATTCCTCTCAGCAGATGGGAAACAAGCACTTGAATTTATGGTTATGACTTCTTGTACTGTTAAAGGGACTGGCTTTGTCAGAATTGACAGAAAGTGACCTGAAGCTTGTGAAAGTCTACCAATCAAGAAGTGTACTTTTTCTGTGTTTTCTTGTGATTGTGGGAGAAAGTTATTGCCCGGTCCTATCATCTGTAGGTTCCTGTGGGAACCAGAAACAACTGAAGATTATGTGAAGGCACAAAGAGTATTCATAGAGGGAGATGTCTGACAGAGGAATGTTCAAGTATTCAGATTCCATTTGCTGAATGGGGAATGGAGAAACTATGGCCTACAGGTCAAAATTGTTTTTTTCTTTAATGAGCAAAGTTGAAATCTGAAGAATTAAGTTAAAAAAACTTTGAAGCAGCTGCCTTGTTTAGCATTTTAAACAATACAATTGAAGAGTAACAAAAAAAAGTCCTTTGCTTTTCTCAATTTTGTTTTTTTTTTAGTGGCACCCATAAAAGCTCTGTGTAGTCAACGATTTGATGATTGGAAAGAAAAATTTGGACCTATTGGGCTTAGCTGTAAGGAACTGACAGGAGATACAGTGGTGGATGATTTATTTGAAATACAACATGCTCATATTATTATGACCACACCAGTAGGTTCCATATGTAACTTGCTATTCCTTCTGTTTTTTTGGTTTTTTTTTAATTTTGAAAGTTAAAATTAAAACTACTAGCTTTTTGTATGTTGCCTTGAACTTTGTTTTGTGACAATCAGTAACTTAGAAACACTTTAAGGTCTGTTTATTGGCTTACATACTAATAGTGTCATATGTAAACAATAGTAATAAAATGCTACATGAAATTTGTTGCATTTGCTCAGAAGAACTTTACTGATTTTATGAAAAGATTTTGGTCACATTAAGGGGCTGTCTGCACCACTGCTTTGGGCATCTGTTGCCTTAAAATATCTTTCAGCTGTTCATAATTTTTTTTTCACTAGGAAAAATGGGATAGTATGACTAGAAAATGGAGAGACAACTCTTTAGTCCAGCTGGTACGATTGTTCCTCATCGATGAGGTAAAAAAAAAGATTTTTATTACTTGTTTTTTTCCTTGAAGATAAAAGGAAACCTTTTAGAAAGTAGAACAGAATGTCAGAAATTTATTTTAATATATTTATAGATAAATGGAAGAAACAGGTGATCTTATTCTACAATGTTTTTAATAGGTACATGTTGTGAAAGATGAAAGCCGGGGTGCAACACTCGAGGTGGTAGTCAGTCGGATGAAAACTGTACAATCTTCTGTTTCACGTAACTCAGAGAATCCCAACACATTTCCTTCCATGAGATTTGTGGCTGTTTCTGCAACAATCCCGAATGCTGAAGATGTAAGAATACATTTTTAATTATATTCTTTAAAAAATATGATTTAAGTAGTCGTTGCTCGTTTGAGGTCAGTTGTAGAGGCCGAAATTTAAGTAATGATATGGATCCCACTGTAGTTCCTCATGTGCTTTATGCATGTGAAGCAAAATTCTTTTGGCTGGCTGTCTCTCTAGGATATATATGCACTGAGTATTCCATTTCTATAATGTTAACTTCTGCATAGCCTTCCCATCTTCCTGCAGATAGCCTGGATAATGGCTGGAGGAAAAACACTAACAGAAAAGTCTTTTCAACAAGTTCAAAAGCTCATTGTTAAAAACAGGAATGCTTCTACCAGAAGATCTTCTATACATAATAGAAAAGATTTTGCCTTATGGGCAGCTGAAAACAACATGAATTTGGTGGAGTCTCTGATTCCAACTATTCTAGACTGTATTTTTGTTCCTGCAACAGGTGGGATTGGCACTTAACCTTGGAGTCCACCTGGCAGGAATATCACTATATTATATTCCAGTCAGATCTCAGTTTTCTCATACCCTACACTGTCAAAATTAATCAGAGGTCATCGTCACACCTAGTTCTCTGTCATTAATTTCTCTCTCATCTAGGACCCTAATGTGGTCTTCCTGCAACTCATGGAGCCTCCTTTCAATTCTCTGTCAGAATGTTCTTTATACCAGCATTTCTCAACCTGAGGGTTCTGACCCAAAAGTGGGTCACAAGAATATATGAAAAGGTTGCAAACAAACTTTAAAAAATGGATCAACAATCTTTACAAATGGATTCTCTTTTACAGGTGAAAAGTGTGGGAAACCGTGGGTTCCCCCTTGCAGGCTGGCAGAGTCCTAGCCTGCAAGGGTCTGCTTGGAGCTGGGGGGAGCGGGAGGAGGGCAGTCAGGCAGGGGGCACCATGTGTACGTGCATGCACGCACATGCATGTGGCAGCCTGGCAGCGTGAAGAGCAGCTCCTGCAGCTCCCCTCAGGTAAGTTTATTAGGGGGGCGGGGGGGCGGACATAGACAATGTGTAAGGGGGTGTGGGGCACAGGTAATACTGCCTACCACCCTACCTCCTCACCAGGGTAGAGCCGTGGCCTGAGGGGAGCGGCAAGTAGGCCATGGTGGTGGGGAAGAGCTGCAGCATGGTGCACAAGCAGCTGGCTGCAAAAGGTGAGGGCAGCATGGGCCCTTTCCTCCCTGCCCGCATCTGTTGCTACTCACACTGCTGGCAACATGGCTGGCACAGAGCTTCTGGTGACAGTGGTAGCAATGAGTCTTGCCTCTATGCTTTGCTCTCCCACTCTGAAGCCCTCCCACTGGGCTGTGAAGGCAGCTTCTGCCTGTGCCAGTCCAGCCAGTCTGCAGCCCTGTGCCCACTGTGGATGCACAAATCTGGGGGGGTCACATGCCCCACACTCACCCCTTTCTTGCATATCCACTCTTTTCCTCATATGCTGGGGGCTGGGGGTTGAGGGCAGCAGGCCAGGAATGAGAGGCACTAGCAGGGCTAGACAGGTGGGGGGCTGTGGGTTGGGAGTGAGGGGCACTGGCAGGGCTGGAGGGGCTGTTTTCTATTTAAACTATTTATTGGGTTGGGACTGGCCATCATTGTTTACAAATAGGTCCTGGTACAACAGAATTTGAGAACCACTGCTTTATACCATTTTACTACCAAGGGGTCATTCTAGAGGTCATTCTAGTTGCCATTGTGAGTGGGATGGGCAATCTTATCCTTGACTCTCCTTTATACTCACCTGCCATGACTTGGATGAATAGGAAAAAGAAAGGAGGTTAAGGTCTTAGTTATTCTTGGACAAAATAATGCCACTTTGATGTTAATTGCTCACAGTGTAAGTTTTATTGTAAGGGTTAACAGTGCGAAAATGACTATGTTCTTGCCAATTGCTTCATTGGCAAAGTAGTTAGTGTTTCAATCAGAACCTCTTCGAATTAGTTACTTTGTATGCGCAGGGTAGAAACTCTCCACCGCCAATTACCTCATTAGCGGTACACTCCCTCCACTTCACTCATTCTGTGTGTGTGTGTGGTCCAGGGGCAGTCTCTGGCCATTCTCTCTCTCCCAAACATATTTTCCGCTCCTGGTTTCCATGGTCCCACTGGGAGCCAGTCTTGGGGTCAACCCCAGTCCCCTTCAGTGAGGGCACAATCTTTCCTCCTGAACTTTCCTGGGGAAGTCATTGCTCGGTGTTTCAGGCTTCCCCTCCACCATACTCACCGGCTCCACAGGAGTCACTGGCAAGGCAAGCCCGTTTTGCCGCACCTCTCAGGAGTCCACCACCCAGCCTTTCAGACTCCCCCTGCACTCACTGGCACCATGGGAGCCACCGGAAGTACAAGCCTCTTTGCTGCTGTCCTGCCGCATCTCGGGGATTCGCCATCCGGCGTCACAACTCCTCCTGCCCACCAATTCAACCAGGTTCCTGGTAAAGTAAACCTTGTTGGCACTGACTTGCCATACACTTTGGGAGTTCCACTCTCCTTGGAGTTTTATTCCTCTCCACGGCAAGTCTCCTTTGCCTTTTCTGCAGAGCGCCGCCGCTCCTTGCTCCTTCTGGTGCCTGAAGACAAAAGTCTTTTCACTGCTGCCATTTTTATGCTTCGTATGACAGGCTAATCTCCTGTTTTTTTCCCAGGTGTACAATCCCTTCCACCTGGCAGGGTTCATCGTCAGGTCAACCTGACCCAACCTTGTCTAAGTAACAGGGCTCTTGCCCGAGTCTCTGTTATAGCCATCACTTTAACTCAGCGTTGAAAAGATCTAAGCCCCTATGGAAGAACTTAGATCCATAAGCCTTATAATGCAACTGTAACCATTATATCACAAGTACAAAGTGATGAAACTGCATCTTAAATTCATTCCCAACATGGTCTCAGAATTCTGACTCAATCAGTCACTTCAAAAATCTTCCTGAAACCATGCTCCTCATTGAGAAAAAAGACGTGATAGACTTTAGACATCTTCAAAGCCCTACTTTACTACTTAGCCCAAATAAAGCACTTCAGATACCCTTCTGATATTTTTGTGGCCTATTCAGTGTACTGAGAAGTCAAACATTCTCATTCCAAAGACTTAAATGGGTGTGATCCAGTTATCAGCTGGCTAGCAAGCCCTACTTGTACCTTGCAATTAAAACAAGAGTGGGCAAAATATTGCCTAGGGACCAGATTTGGGCCATGGAGGGACTTTGTCTGGCCTATGGTAGGTCCCGTTTGGCCCAGGCACCATCCAACCCATGGTGTGTCCCACCGCCCTGGGCGCACAACAGGGCTGGGGCAGCTCTGCAGCTGGACTCCAGCCTCAGCTCCATGAGGACTGGCGGGGACCCATGTGCACAGCCATGGCACTGGCCCTCCCTGCACCTACCCTGTACCTGCCCCAGCTAAAGCATACCAACCAGGACCAGTGTGCACAGCCCCAACTCTGGCCCAATCCACGCCCACTCTAAACCCATCTGCCCAAGATGGGTGGTGGTAGCAGGGCAGAAGCTGCTGCTGGCTGCTAGGGAAAAGTGGCTGCCTCCCCCTTGCTGCTTGCCACCCCTGGGCTGCCCTGCAGCTCCTCTGCCACCACTACCAGCACTACCTTTGGGCTGCCCAGCGGGGCAGTGGTGGCAGTGGAGGGGAGCTACAGAGCAGCCTGGGTGCGGGCTCTGGGCAGCTGCAGCACAAATGGCCTGGCAGCTGCAAGGTGGAGGTGGCCATTTTTCCCCCATGCCCAGCAGCAGTTTCTGACTGGTTGTCAGTGCTGCTTATCATGGGCAAACCAGTCCAGAGTAGGAACGGGGTGGGCCAGGGTCAGGGCTGCGTGTCTGGGTCCAGCTGGTCCACTTTGGCTGGGGCAGGCCCAGGTCCAGAGCAGGTATGGGTGGATCGGGACTGGGGCTGTGCATGCAGGTCCCCACCACTCCCCATGAGACTGAGGCCTTACACAGCAGGGCTCTGTGCTCAACTGCTGCCATGGACTGGTGGTGGTGAGGAGTCACAGGGTGCAGGTGCTCCAGGCTGTTGCCAGGGTGGTGGGGAGAAAAGGGTACTGATCAGCCCACGACAGCTCCCCAAAACTGCCTATGTGGCCCATGGGCCCAAATAATTGCCTGCCCCTGGTTTAAAGCGTAAGTAACATCCTGCTTCAGCAATGTCTTTGCAGCTTGCAAGGCAGCCAGAAGAAGTAACCAGCTGATATGCTAGATGTCATGAACTGAATGTGGCAATCCACATATTCCAGTTTAGAAGGGAAGTGTCTGTTTGATCAATGATGGTTCCTCAATTTTACTGTATTGGGCGTGGATGCTGATAGGAATTCCTTTATAGTGGAGTCCTCCCTGACATGCTCAAAGAATAAAATGGTTACCCTATCCTACAGTAACTCTGGTTCTTGGAAGTGGATCTGCCCTTGATGCCCTAATTCAGGAGCATGTGCAGTTTCAGGGTACGTGTGCATTTTTGTTGGAAGCTGTTAGGTCTTATGCATATGAGGTGTATATACACCTATGATATGATTTGTAGTAACCACAGTATCTCCAAGAACCTCAGTTACTGTAATATAAGTAAAACAGCTTCTTTTGTTTCTTCAGTTCATTTCAGTATCCTGAAAGTTTGGATAAATAAAAGTCAAAAGAAGTTGTAAATTCTACTTTAAGTGAGTTCTTACATAAAGCTATCATTTCTGAACTGTTGGCTGATGGTTACTATTTTGATGAAAACAAATATAATTTATGATACAGCCATACAGAAGTTTTAGTCTAAAATTAACAAAATACTACAATTCTGTATTTTTATCAGTGTATTTGGTTGTAAGCACAAGTCTTACTAGGTTGTGGATAGATTTTGATCTTAATTATACCTGTCCGATTTAAAACTGAATTTGCCTTTTTTAATTACAAAATGGGCATGTCTACACGTGTTCCTTTGGTGCCTTTGTTACTGTGCCATCATTTAGTACTTTCAAAAGGAAGTAGTAAATGATGGCACAGTAACAGGCGGCACTGCGCGCTGCACGTCATACAGTTATTTTTAGTTGCTATGCCACCATAGCAATGCACTATAATGAGGGAGCATGTTGCTATGGTGATGTAGCTGCAGTGTCACAGTTTGTAACTGCTGATGCTATGGCGTCATGGCGTGTTGCTACGGCGACATAGTGTCACATGTAGATGCTCCCAAAATGTATTTTAAAATGTTAATACTTTTGAAATGGCAAGAAGAATTTAACCGGTTCACTATTATCTATATTGTTAGAGCACAGCATACTTAATGGCAGAGCTATCATTTTCAAGCATTGTTTTAACATACTTTCTTGTTCTTCAAAGATTGCAGAATGGCTGACAGATAGTAAGAAGCCTGCTGTATGTTTGAAAATAGATGAGAATCACCGACCAGTGAAGCTTTGCAAAGTTGTTCTTGGATTTCCCTGCAGTGGCAACCAAACAGAATTTAAATTTGACTTAACTCTTAACTACAAAATAGCAAGCGTTATACAAACATACTCTGAACAAAAACCAGCACTTGTGGTATGTTTTTCTCTTACTGGTTTTAAAAGTGTTTGTTTCACAGTACAATTAATTCAGAAAGTATTCTCTTATTTATAGTTTTGTGCCACAAGGAAAGGAGTACAGCAAGCTGCTTCTGTTTTTGCAAAAGATGCTAAATTCATAATGACTACAGAACAGAGACAAAGGTATTTTAAATATTTGTTTTAAGTTAGTAATCGGTGTCTGATATTCTAGCCAATCTTATTACTTATGAAATGAAAGTTGAGGGGATTAGTACAGTTACTGGTAGAAAGTTGTTTGTCATAAAATAATTATCACAAAAAGGATTCTGAAAAATCTTACTAGGGGCTATGGACTATGGCTATAGAGTCCTTTACTAGGACAGTTGATTTTTTCGGTAGTGGAGATAATCCACTTGCAGGAAATCCAACCTTTGCTTGTTTCTTCTAAATAAAGGAAATTATTCTGCAGTAATATATTTTGGGTGCCTTTCATTAACATTAAATTCATTAAATTTTTTCAGTGCAAAGATTTGCACATGTGATAGTCCTATGTCATATGTGGTCCTGTTGGACTGTTCACACTAAGTTGCATTAAACACATACCTAAATTTTTCAGGATCAAGTATCTTAGTAAACACTGCCCAGATTTTTGTTTATGATTACTTACTTCATCAGGGAGTTATATCAAAGTATTCTCTATGCCAGGGGTAGACATCCCCTGGCAAGAATGACAAAGTCTGGCATGTGAAGGCATTTTGCTTGGCGCACACACTTCAGGAAGGGACCAGAGCTGGGCTGCCACAACAAAGATTGGGCCCCTCGCAGCTCCCCTCTCATCTGTCCCTGGCACTCCAACATGTTAAAGGCAAGGTTGCAGGTATTTTTGTCACCCTGCCCATAAACATTGCCCACCCCTACTCTACGCTACTATTGGGGATACATTTTCAATTTAATATATAATTTGTTTTTACCAATAAGAACATTCTTTTGTCTAATTGAATCCAAAATGTTTTCATTAAGGTTCAGTTCAGGACATCATATCTAGATATAGGTGTTTAATTCCCATTTACATCAATGAAACCTAAGTACATGATTAACTGTTTTCCTGAACTGGGATGGACATATGCACATACTTATATGCTTTGTTGAACCAGGACCTTTGTGTTTACTTCAGTATTAACATTAAAGTTTATAAGCCATTCTTAAATCGTTTTAAAACAACTCTTGAGTTAATCCATAATTTTAGGTATTAATAATTAAATGCATTTCTGCCTTCTACAGTTCAAATATTATACCAAACAGTTGTAGTCCTCATTTCTTCTTCTAGACCACTCTTCATTAATAAGAAACAGACAAAACTCTAATTGAAGTAAGTGTTCTTTGAAGGCATGAATAGGACTTGGGGAAGTACAAGATAATGTCCATAGATACTTTCTTCTATTAGTTCAAATTTTCCACATCCTTTTTATGTGATAAAAATATTAAGATTTACAAACAGGCGTTTCTTAAAGAAGATATTGTTTATATTATGCATAAATAGATCCAAATCTACAATACTTATCCAAAACCAGATGCTCCTCTTCACTTTCAGTAATAGTGGAGAGAAACTTTCACAAATGAATGGGGGAGCAATGGGAGTTCTGAAGTTCTATTCCTGAACTTCTGGACACTTCTTTGTAGAGGCACTGTAAGGATTTAGGACTGTTGTTGAGGAGGTAGTCTGATATGATGGAGCTGGTGAGCAGTTACATACTGAATTCAGGTTTTACTGACTTAATGTACAGAAGTCCAGAGCATGTCAGTGGTGCCTTTACAAAATATATTTTTATCATTACATATTATTTATAAATGAGGAAGTCTGATATGTAAACTGTGTGATTTAAAAAATACTAATAATTTTTATCTCTCCCTTGTACAGATTACAGAGGTCTGCAAATTCAATAAAAGATTCCAAACTAAGAGGTAAATTGTCATTTTACCATTTTAAGTCACAGGACTTAACATTTGCTTGAGTAAATTTGTGAAGATAATTCATAGTATTTCATTTTCAGATCTCCTAATATATGGTGTGGCTTATCATCATGCTGGTATGGAGCTATCTGATAGAAAAATAATTGAAGGAGCATTTACTGTGGGAGACTTGCCTGTACTTTGTAAGTAAATTTAAACTCTGAAAGTCAAAATAGTGTTCCTATGTTTGTTTCTTTTTATATACATTTGGTAAAAGTAAATATGATTCAAACATTAATATTTACTCTTAGGTTAGTCTGTGAAAACAAGCCTTTGTATGAACAATCCATTTGCTTTGATAAGTAATTAGCACAATTTGAATGCTGTCACAAAGTTAGTAGTAGTAAAACTCCCATGTACCTGCATGATTGGGCTTGTAATTTATGGTTGAATCCTGAATTTGCAATGCATCTATAACTATCATTAACTTCAGTTTTTGTTTTCCCTTCTAAAGAAATAAGTTCATAAGAGTAACCTACGTATATGACAAAATATGATAATGATGTGCATGGTGCTTTACAGGCAAATAAAAAAAATAGTCCTTAAAGATATTGCTATTGCACAAAAAGAGAAACTCATGACTGTATTCAGACAGTGACTGGATTTGAATGAACAGCAATTACTGATTCAGTTTTGGTATCCAGGGAATGGTATACAAAGAATTTTATCTGTAAATAGCAGAAATATTTAAATACAAATGTGTTGGATGAATTTAGGTTTTAAAATAGTATTTGATAGCACTTGATATATTGATGATCAGATATAGTGAAAAACTGTATATCGGGGTGCTGGGGCTGGACTGGGGCAGTGCTGGGCCTGATTCAGGTGCCAATCTTGCAAGGTATCTGGCTTGCGGACTGGCCCTGTATTCCTCATCTAGCCCACCAGGCTGAAAGTTTGAGCATCTCTAGTATGTTTGTGTATAAATACATATAAAGACTATGGGCACATTTATGGGCACCAAGTACCTTAATTCCCACTACCTTTATTAAAAGTTGGGCATTCTTGCCACCTCATAAAACTGAGCCATTTATTTACTGCACTGTATAAAGTTTTGCTAATATACAGAAATGTTGATACTGTTCATCATGAGATTAATCTTTAATCTGATACAGTTACTACTAGTACCTTAGCTATGGGAGTAAATTTACCTGCACATCTGGTTGTTATAAAGTCCACAATGCATTATGTTGGAGGAATGTTTCAAGAATATAGTGAAACTGATATTCTGCAAATGATTGGGAGAGCAGGAAGACCACAAGTAAGTTAACTGTGTTTTGTATACATGTTCTCTAAAGATGAATTTGTAAAACCATATAGAGGAAGAGGTAAATGTACCCACAATTTTAGAGTAGCATTTGCTTCTTAAAGTTTTGTAATTTGTACCTGAATTATTTTTTAGTTTAAAGAAATATTCAGGAAAGGAGTCTGGCTCTCAGTAGATTGCTCAGTGAAGATCTCTCCCCAGTGTTTGTGGTAAAAAAATAATAAAAGTGCTAACTTGCATAAGAAATAGGATAGTGGAGGATATTATAATGTCTTCATAGAAATTGGTGGTGCAGTCTTGTGTGCAATAACTTCATGCAATAATGGCATTCCCATCTTAAGAAGAATGCTGAAGAGCTAGAAAAGGTTGAGAGATGGGTCATAAAAAATCCAGGACATGGAACAGTCAAGTAAAGAGAGATTGAAAATATTAGGTTTGCCCCTGTCAAATAGGAGAGAGGACACAAAAGGAGTTTATAGAATATTGAATGTTATAGAAACAATACCCCAGATTACTCCACATCTGTCTTCTGCAAAGGGTTCAGGAACTTCCTCTGAAGCACCTAGTTCTGGCCACTATTGGAGACAGAAAAAATGACTAGATGGGGCTTGGGTTTGAACCAGTATAGGAATTCATATGCTATTCATTTTGTCCATTAGAAAAAAACTACACAAGCTTACTTTACTAAAAGTTTTGATTTGGTAAAGTAAACTTTGATCATGTGCTTAAGTTATATTGACCATACTGTATTGTATTGACCCTATTATTCTCTAATGTATGTATACATTATAATTAATAATTTAGGATCATGAGCCAACTGCTAATAACTTTTTAATAAATCAAAGTGCAAATGAGTTTGTCAGGGCTTGCCTTTCAGTTATTAAAACATTTGCATTTCTCAATAGATTAAATGCACATTTTTTAAATTCATTTTAATTGTCTCAAGATGTGAGGGGGTGTGCATGCATGTATGTGTGTATGGAACAGTCCATATATAGGATTCCCAGCTAAATCTTAGAGAATGTATGTTTTTTTTTCAGTTTGACACAACCGCTACAGCTGTTATTATGACTCGCTTAAGTACAAGAGAGAAGTATGTACAGATGTTAAATGGTGCAGATACAATAGAGAGCAGGTAACCAAATAATTTGCCAGAAGGATGCTATGTGAAAAATAGAAATGTTACATAGACCCAGCAGCATATATTTGCTTGTTCTTTTTGGTTTGTTCAGAAGAAATTCATTTCAGTCAACATAAAAGATAGGCCCGTGGGGAAATCATACAGAGCTACACAAAGATGGAAATTTCAATTTTATATATTCAGCACCTCAGAGAACGCTAATAAATAAGAAAACCAACTATTTATCTAGCACTTTTTACAGCAATACAATCCCATTTTTGTGTTAATTATATTTTTAAAATAATTACACTTTTAATTGAAAAGAAACTGTTGCAACAAGAAAAAAGAGAAACATTTTACAAATAGATCTCTTCACCTTAGCAGTAAGGTGAAGATAGAGACTCACTGGGTGCTGGAGTTGCAGAGTTATCAGTTATCAAATTGTGCTTTGTCCTGACTCTTGATGATGTGATCGAGGTAGAGTCAGAATAGCAGTTCTGATGATGACAGCCTAGAAGAAGAAGGCAGCTTAGATGAGGCTGAAGCTGGGAATGAGATAAGTGCTGGGAAAGGGAAGACATGGTCTGGGTTCTGAAGCTTTAGCAGATCATGGAAGCTGAGGTCGATAAAGCGTTTAGATACCACAAGTGGCACTCTCGCTAATAAAGTTTGAGTGGATAGGGTAGTGATATGTGATATTCAATAAGACGCTATCCCTGCCTATTTATTTATGTATTCTAATTCACATAATCCATATAAATAATTCATTCATATAACTATTCATATACATTCTTATAAATAACTACTGAATTTGTGATCTATCTAATAAATAAAAACACCATATAAGAACAACTCCAAAATATTTATCAAGCACCCACTTATCTGTCCATTGCCTATTTAGCACTCCAAGAAAAAAAGCTGGGCTTTATAGCACTCTTATAAGTTTAACGTCAGTGCTGCTGCTCAGAAGTGGATCCAGGATTCTACAGATGTGGGAGCAGTGACTAGTCCTGTAGGGGTGGCTATATCCCCCCCCGTTCCCTGCTTCTTCCCTTTCTCTCTGCATGGAGGCAGGCAGATTGTGCCATGGGAGCAAAAGCAGGCACTTCTTTAAATCCCCAAAGCATGCAAGAACTTCCCCCCTTCCCCTTTTCCCTCCCTGCTCACAGGCATGTTCCCTCCCCATCTCCTGCCTTCTCTGATGTACCTACTGTCCTGGAAGTGAGGGGAGCTCCAGCTTGGCTGTGCAGGGACTGGGCTAGCCCATGGGACAGTGGCAGTGGGCAGAAGGGTTCCCCGCTTCCCCCAGCCTACTCCCAGGCTGATGGGGAACAGCCAGGAGAACCTGGCTGCCCACTGCTCCTGTCTTGGGCTGAACCCAGTCTCTGCACAGCCCAGCAGGAGCAGCTGTAGAGCTCCTCTCACCCCCAGGAAAGTAGGCACAGTGGCGGCAACAGATGGGGAAGAGGGAAGGAGAGGGGACATGCTTCTGAGCATGGGAGGGGAAGGGGATGGGAATTCTTACCTTCTCTGAGGACAAAAATCCCTGGCTACTTCTACCAAGTGGTCAAAAAGGGGGGATGCAGCTGTGTCACTGTACCCCTTTGGATCTGCCCCTGTTGCTGCCCCTTAAAACAGATGTGTGACGTGCTTCATAAGGACTTGCTAATGTCAACTGCTTAATATTAGAGATGAGCGCTCAGAAATTCTTCTGGTATATAGTTTCTGCTAAAATCAGCTGGTCAGTTTTGTTTGTAATAATTATGTTCTTATCTACCTAACCCACCATTCTGCTTCTGTGTGTAGCAGTTTGTTCTGAAATGTATCCTTGTAGATATATAGATACTCGGGAAAGTGCAAGTTGTGTCTTTTGGTAACCAGCAGTTTAAGACTGAATGAGTTCAGTCTAAATATATTTTCTATCCATTGGGATGCTCCTCATGCATTATGCTTAAAGTGACTTAGTTCTTCCTTAAGTGGTCAAGTTAGTTGCAAATATGTGTTGAAAGACCAGAAACAATGACAGAATATGTCCAAAAAGACAAAAACAAAACAAAACAAAAAAATAGAACCAGGCTATGCATTGAAGTTTTACACAAGAGAGTGCAGAAGATACTAGTTTATAGAACCCACTTGATATGAACATCTACAGAGAAAGAGATATATGGGAAAATTAGAAAATTCAGAACCATGGCAGAAATTAAAAGCTAAAATTGAAAATCTAAATAAAATCTAATTAATGCTTTCTCTTGAATAGCATTCAAAATATCAAGAATGTGATGTAACCTTTAAATATAGGCAGTTTTGTATACTGTTATATTGAGCCACAACAGTCAAAACCACATCTCTCTCTCTCCTGCTGAATTGTTGAGACATTATGTTTAAATACTGTGGGAGTTTTCATATTAAGTCCTTTAAAAAGAGCAGCAATAAGTGGAATATTTCCTATAACATACATTGTATAATTGTTGAAAAATAAATGTTGGTGGTTTTTATACCATTACTACATATTTAAATTCTATTTATAATTTGCTTATTTTATTTCTTACTAGTTTACATAAACATCTTGTTGAGCATTTAAATGCGGAAATAGTGCTACATACCATAACAAATGTGAATATAGCTTTGGAATGGATAAGATCAACTTTCCTATACATCAGAGCTTTGAAAAATGCAGTTCATTACGGTTTGTTACTTTTAAATTGATTAGTCTAAGATAGTGGATTAGATTATGCTATGTTATTATGTTATGTCCAAGATAAAGTAGGTTATAGTAAACTGCATTCATTTTTAGGAGTAATAATTTTCTGCTTGTAAGAAATTATATTAAATTAATATTAATTTTCTGTTATACAATGTTATTTCAGTCGAGATTAAAAACAAGCTATTAAATATAATTTGGAATATTTTTAGGAAAAAATAATTCTGACCCTATTAACCTAATTATCAGGCTGTTCAACATAAAGTACTTTTTCATTAACTGACATGCAAAATTTCAGTTTTAGGATTACCCACTTTCCACTGTTGAGAAAGCACAGCCCACACTAAGTCAATAATATATTACTATCACTTTTCAGTGCTGGGTATCTACCTTTGAGGTAAAGGTAAATCAACTTTTATTTAATATTGAATACTTTTTCTAAAGGCTTTTAATATCCTTATTTTATAGAAGATAAAATAAGAATATTAACATTCATAAAACTGCTTCATATAGAATAAAAACAGATCTTTCTTTTCCTCCCAAAGGCAAGTTTTCTGTTATGGCACTGATCATAGAACCTTTTCACACCACCAGCATATACATTCTGGGTTGTTGAACCAAGTGGGAAGTCAGGGATTAATAGGTGCATGAAGGACCTAGAAAAGAAATTATAGATATAAGAGCATTCAATAGCTTTTAGTGTGATGCCTGACTTTTTTTTTATTATGATTTTCTTCATTGTAAAAGTTTCAAGTTTTCAGTTTTACAATTCAACTAAAATATAAAATATTGTAATGATCACAAACCCAAGGCAATTATTAGGTAAGGCTTGTATTGTAAAGGACAAAAGACTTTTGTACTATTATAATCCAAATAAACAAATCTCACCAAATGTTTCATTTTTTTCCTTCCTGTTTTGGTAGGAAATGGAAACACCATTTAAGTGTTGCTCTTAATTTGTTGGGAGTGGGGAGTAGAAAAAGGTTGTATGCTGTTGGAGACCTGCTAGGTAAACACTTCTGGTAGGAAGCAGTGCTTATTTTTGTTTGTAGTTGAATACTGTTGTTTCCTGGGCTGTTTTACAAAGAAACAATAGTCCAGCAACAGTATTAAAGTATTTCCATTGTGTCATGAGGAGAAGAGTAACAATTTCATGAAGTTAATGAGAGCTTTGGTTACTTTTTGAAGAGTGGTAATATAACTCTAGACTGCAGCCTTCAGATTTAGTGTGTTGAGTAGCAAGTCACTTAGTATTAAGGAGAGAAGCAGCGGCAGCTAGGGCAGAGTGACTGGGGCAGCTAGCATGAGTTCGGGGGCAAGGAAGGTCAAGGGAGGGCAACTGGAAGTCACTGCTGCCCTGTGTATTGGCTGATTCTTACTTCTGACCAAATCAGGGATTATAAATACCTTGTACTAGTATTGTGTGTTTTATTGCTAAAATAACATAAAGGGATGGAGAAAATGAAACTGAAACAAGCAGTTCCATGTTCTTGCTTTATGTACTTTGAAACAGCAAAGCCCTAAATTTTATCTAATGGAATGTCTGTGTTAGTAAAAACACTCGAATAAATGAATGTATCTTACAGTGCTTTATAATTTAGTGGTTTGTTAAATGAACTGATTTTCCTCACCCTGTTTAAATGCTCTATTGTAAAAAAAGAAGTTGCGATTCCTGTTTTAACAGGTACTGAATTTGTAATTTCTTTTTCTAAATTGAGCAGATTTTACATGTTTTTCAGATGAACAGAAAAAGAACAGGGTAACATGTCTAGGAGAGTAATGTTGTTGCATAATCTAGGGCAGTGTTTACATTATTCATGCAAATGCATAGCAAACTATACTTATTATTTAAGTTGAAAAGATTTTGCTTTGATTCAGGGTATGTGTTACACTGTGTATCTTTTTGGTTATGCATTCTTTTGATTACTGTGGCCACAGACAGGTGTTCATTCTTGTGAAAATAGTTTCTCTGAAATTTCTTATGGCTAGAAAAATAGCCCAGGAGCTGAAGCATACATACATTCAAGCCCCCTGCCTGGGGGCTGCTCCCTGGGCCACCACCACCATTAGGAAAGCCCATTAACTAGCAGCCTGTCTTCTCCCCTACCTTGGAAGAGGGCAGGGTGTCAACAGGCAGACCCTTGGCTTTTAAATCACTGTAATGTGCAGCCCAATTTGAGCCTCCAACACCTACCTGGCTGGCATGGGCAGCAATGGGAAGCCAAGTAGCTATTACTAGGGCACAGGCTTTCCCCAACCTGGGGTCCCTATGCCTCCAGCTTACCATAGGTGCCTGTGATGCCCAACTGGCAATCTTCAGTTTGGGGAAGAGGGGGGAACAGCAGACCAGACTGGGAGGAGAGTGGAGCAGTGTACAGGCATTCATTCTTTCAAGAGAAACCCTCTTGCAAGGGAGATCTTCCAGGGTTCAACCTAGTACAGTGGTGCTCTCAACATTTTGGCCCCACAGGCCAAATGAATGGGACAGGGCTGGTCTGTGGGTTAGATCAGACCCTGCACAGCTGGATCAGATCCCACTCCCCCTGCACACCTGGATCAAGCCTGCAGGGAGCCCTGCAGGCCAGATAACCCAGTGCTGGGGGCTGGATCTGACTCATGGACTAGAGTTTAAGCATCCCTGACCTACATCTTTCTCCTGGAGAAAGCATGTTTCCTGTGGAAGAAATGGAACGAGTGTTTGTATGCATCTAGTTTCTATTGGAAGAGTGACTATTTTCTCTGTAGAAAGATGTCTGCAAGTGGTCCACAATATTTTGCTATGGAAAGTTTCCTTATACAAAGCGTTTGTGCAGTCTGTTCTAGGCTGCTTAATTTAATGTATTGTATTAAAAAATGTGTCATGTATCTTTGGTATTATGGTGCTAGTCACGAAAAAGGAAAGTTTTCCTTTTCCTATATAAGCTCAAGAAACCTTGATGGCAGTAAAAACACTACAGCTTTGTTGTGCATGTCTTTTGCCCAAAACACAGGAACACTTCTGCAGATTCCAGTTATACCCCATTCCCACATGCCAGTGTTACTGAGAATTAAATGTAAGAATATGAAAATTTAAAATTCCATTTGTTTTTTCTTGAGGTTTTTCACCTGGATTAGACAGAGTTGGAATTGAAGCAAAGTTACAAGGTCAGTAACGTTTCACCTTTTTCAATGTAAAATTGTATTTCCTACCAGATTCTTCCACTAATTTCAGTGGCATTACTCACAGAACGAGATATTATTTATTATGAATTGGTTGGTTAAATCAAGTACTTTGTGACCTGTTATTTAAATAGCCCTATTATTTTCACTTACTTAGAATTCTTTAATTATAAGTACTATAAAGATATCCTTGTAATACAGAAAAACACAAATACATACCCTTCTGTTCAAGCACGTGCTTGTGTGTCAGCTTTTTATGTACATTAATCTTAATAAAAAGTTGTACACAGACAGACTGTCTATGCTACTTCTCCATAAGACAGACCTTTGCATCAGTCCTTAACAACTTCCTGAGGAAGCTGAGAGAGGAATTTTGGACAAACAGTGACTGTAGCAGATCATGTTAAAGTGATGTGGGTTCACTAATTCAAAGCAGTTGGCTGAATATGCTACTCCCCAAGTTGCTTATGTTTGTGGGTGTGATTTGGCTGTTCAAGCAGTTTGACTTGAGTATTCCTTTCTGTTAGGCCATGATATTTTCCTGTGGAGCAAATATATATTCTTTAATATATACTCTGCTCCATTGCCTGATATTTGCACTTATTTCTTGAATTATTCATGTTGTTTAGGCATGTCAAAATAAATCTTATACCCTTTGCAAAATTTGTATGACTGGATATGATAAACATATGCATGTCTCAAACGTATTTAATATATCAGGTCTTCTGAGAATTATTTGCTATGGTACATTTATGCCAAACTTAAGTTTTATATTTACACATATATAATGCAGTATCAAAAACAAGGATGCCATCAAATTATTAAGATACTTTATATGTTGAGTTCTTATCCAAGTGGAAATAAACATTTGACTTTATGCATACAAAAAGATCACTTATATTCAGGATTTTTTATAGAACATGCTAAAAATTACCATAAGCATTTTAAAGAAGTTAATTTGTTAGGACTTTAACACAAGATAATTATTTTTTAGAGCCTTTAAATATTACCTCTCAGTTTATGGCAATCCCATAAAAATAGATGAAATAAAATAGGTTAAGTGTCAGTGTCGCTTATTTTTACAGTATAAAAACAAAACATACAATGTTTTATTTTATACTATTTCAATTCAAGATTTTTATTAATACAAAATAGGTCCTTGCTAAGATTTTTAATCTGGTAGTTCAATTTCATTGTTCTTATATACACTATAACTTGCCTTCCTTGCATACATGAAGTATTTTGTAGTAATGTATACTACTAGTACTATCTTCATATATTTTGCATGCAATATGGATAATTTTTTTGGTTGCTGTAGAAACTATACTTTTGAGTATCTTGACACATCTGCATTTAAAATCTCAACATTGTGTTAATGTCATTCTTGCATTTAATTTTCTTGGTTTTGAAAGAGAAAATCACAATAAAACACTTTGATCATCATTCTCATTCAGATATCCAGTGCTAGTGTCTAAATCAGTTCATTGGAATTTGTAACTAATGAAATATATTCTTATGCATTTAGTATAGTGTGCAAATTTCCTTTTACACACTTACCAACACACACAAATATTTGAATCTTGTGTAGTATGTATTTTTCAGGCCTGTAATTGAATGCTTAAATTGATACTCTAATTTTCTTGCTATAGTTTCTTTCATATTTGTTAGTATTTTTAAAGTTAAGATTTTTATGCTGAACTAGCCAACTGCCTGTCAGGAATGATGGGAAAGGGGGGAGGGGGCGAGTATGGAGTGCTGCCACCCACCACTCCACACTGCTGCCATCTCTGAGGGGAACCTTGCCCTGCCATCCCCTTGGCCAGCACCCCATGCCACCACTGCCTACTCTGACCGCTCCGTTGCTGCCTCCTGTCTGGAATACTCTTGGAGCACTCTGAATTGGTTGTTTCAGACAACCAGAGTACAAGTAAAGTGTTATGGACCGACAGACATACAGACTAAGGCTTTGATAATATTAGAATATTTATGCTAAGGCTTGAGCCTTCCTTAGTGATATGACAAGAAGTGTTTTCATTGAGTTCACCATTGAGGGTATCCATTTAGGATAGAGGCACTTAAATTTCTGGCCCTGTGGGTTGGATGAGTGGTGATGGGCTGGTACACAGGCCTGATCCAAGTCTTCACGTGCCAGCTTAGCCCAGCCCCTATGCACCAGCCCCATCTCTCACCGGTGTGTTCTATGGTCATGTCATCCAGCCCCCAGGGCCCTCCATTCATCCAGAAATTTGGCAGCAGGGGAGCAGCAATTAATGCAGCCACTGCTTCGAAACCACCACATTTCTGGATTTGTGGGGAGACCCACAGGACAGATGGCATGGCCTTGCAGGCTGCATCTGGCTAATGGGCCAGAGGTTGATCACCACTGCTTTAGGAGATCAGCTGAGTTTAGAAGTTTTGCTTTGGTTATACATAGTTGCAAGTTAAAGCATAAACTTTTGCTTGGTACATGGAAAAATATAGTGATTTTTTTTATGTATTAAATATGTATTTTTTAAACTGTGGACAGAATTGAGTTTGAAAAATGTGAATGATCTAGCTTCTCATGACTTGATCAAGATGGATGAAAAACTGAATTTCAGACCAACAGGTAACCTTTATTTTTTAAAGTAATTTTGACTAAGGGCTATTGAGTCAGTACTGAAAAATCTTTTTTTTTTTACCTTGTAAGGTTTTAAAAATATATATTACATGTTGCGGTTATCATAAGAAATTCTTATAGATGCATCAGTTAGATAATGAGAAGAAAATCATATATTTGTACTCGGGAACACCTGTGTGTATCTCCGTTGAAAGTAGGACATATAGCTGAGGGCAGGATCTGGCCCAGATTCAGATGAGCTGAAGTTTATTGATCAAATGACAGAAGTTTTATTTTCCTCATGTGAAAACCTGTGTAAATCCTCTGCATTGATGTCACTGGAAATTTGGTTGCAGATCAAGAGAAAGTATATCTGTCAGTAACACCCTACCATAAGAACATTTAAAAAATGCAGTTCTGTTGCATAAAAGAGGCAGGAACACTGTATCTCATTAAAAAAACAAATGAGCTAAAAAATCTAATATCTTTCTTCTACAGAAAATGGAAAACTAATGGCTTGGTACTATATTGCATTTGATACAGTGAAACAGTTTTCTACAATTAAAGGAACAGAGACTTTATCCGAACTGGTAATTTAATGTTTCTGTGAAAGTTTGTGTGTGTCCAGTTTAAAACAGAATTGAATATACGCTTCATTTGGTTTTCTAGTTACTCCAGCAAGTTCAGTTTTTTTCTGATGTGTAAGTTTCATAAAGTGTATCAAAATGAATCCCAATATTAGAGTTTTTGTATGTGTTATCCTCTGAGATCTTTCAATTCTTATTGTTTTCTTCCATCAGCGTTGCATTATTTCATCTAATCTCTGGATGCAAGTTGCTGAATTAATTTTGATTCCTATAACATTACATTGCCCTGTCTTCTATTATTTTTACTAGTTTGAAAAATTGCATGGAAATAAGATTTATTTTTAAGAAAACGTCTACATCTACTTTATTTGTTTCTGATCTCTGTTATTAACCTCTCTTTATTATATTGCCATTGTTTGTTCTAAAGTTTATAAGGTCACAAAGGAGTTTCTGATTTCAAGTGAAGAATAAGCATGTACAAATTATTTGTGAAGTAAAGTTCCTGTTTTCACACAGCTATCTTCACTACTAAAATGAGGAAAGAAAGTAATGGAAATATGTGAGGCACACAACAAAAATTGTTACTATGTAGATTACATTTCATAAAGTGTCAACAGTTTGATAAATCTTAGATAAACCCAAATGGAATAATTATCTTTCAACAGTTAAAGCAATATTTTCACTTTGCATGTCACTTAATGCCTGAGTATAAAAAAACAAAAAAAAGATGACTACAATCAACAAGAACTGTTTGATGATCTTTTAATTATAATAGTACAAGGGCAAATGGAAATAATCTAATAGTGTTAAAAGAAATCGGAAAAATAATGGGGGGAAAGGAGAAAGTGATAATGAACTAATAAAAACAATTACAATTGTTTCAGGTCACAAAGATATCAAGCTGCACTGAATTTTCAGATATCAAGTTAAGAACAAGTGAAAAGAAAATACTGAATGCTTTGAATAAGGACAAGAACAGGATAACTATCAGGTCCCAAAACTAAGTGTATTAGTGTTAAAAAAGAAAGTATTTTTTTTACTATTCTTTGTTACTCATTTTAACTATTTTCATGTACAGGTTTCCAATGGAAGGGAAGATAAAAACAACAGAAATGAAAGTAAACTGGTAAAAATGTAATTGTGTTACATCTCATTGTCTTGAAAGTAAATGTTCTGATCCTGCAGGCATTTAAATCATTGGTAAAACTATTAACTTCATATGTGCAAGATCAGACCCTGTATAAAATATTATTGCTTTTATCTTGAACTGGACTTCATTTTTTCATTGGCATCATTGGCTGTTATTGTATTATTGTTTATTTATTAAGATTAAATGTATACTAATAAATACATTTTTCTTGTTCAGTCTTATTCAGGCTCAGCTAGGATGCATTCCTATTCAAGACTTTACTTTGACGCAAGATATAGGCAGAATTTTCAGAACTGGCATAAGAGTTACTAAATGTATGGTAAAATGTATTTCCTTTTTTAGTATATTTAATAGTATACTGTATTATATTTTATTAATTTTTTTTCTTTATAGGGTTGTCTGACTTTCTGGCATCACAGAGAAACAGCTTTTCTGCACTATTAAACTCCTTAATTTTAGCTAAGTGTTTCAGATGCAAACTATGGGAAAACTCACTGCATGTTTCCAAACAGCTGGAAAAAATTGGTAGGTCCCTAGTGTGTAAAAGGTGATACTAACTTCACTGTAAATTTTAGAATGTCTGTTTTGAGAACTAAGTAAGTCTTCCAGCTTTTCATTTGCTAAAATCACGGTTTCTTTGCAACAGTATAATGACAATTAGTTGACAATTAGCTGAATCTATTCAGAATCAGTAAATTCTTACGGATTATTAACCAGTAGCTGCCTGGTAGCTTGAGGTATGTAGAAAAAACAGTCTTGAAATAAGAATCAAAATATGTGGCATCAATACGCAGTGAATATTTCCCAGAAACTACTCCATGTAAGATTCAGATACTGTAGTTTTAAAATAAAATTTTACCTAGCTCTACTCTTGGCAAAAACATAAGATTAGACCTTTAAAATACTGGTAACTTATGCAAAAAGAGACTTCAGTAAAAATCCAACTTCTACTGCTTTATTAATGACGTAAAAAATCCTGTCCTATTAGCTTAATGTTTTGCTCAGCAGTATAATTTTTTTTTCATTAGAAATCTATACATTTGGGCCACTTCCTTGGATAACATATTTATGATGGGTATCTGAGACAGGTTTTAAGCTATTAGGTAGATAAAAACTTAAGCAATAACCTGCAGAGGAAATACAGAACAAGTACTGCCATTTATTTAGCCTTTCTGACTGTATTTGTAGCTGATCTCTGGTTCTTTATGAGAGATAAGAAGTGCAACAGTGAATAGTGGCTTGTCGAAGTGTATCCCTTAACACCTCATCTGTTAAGTACCTTGCATTCCCTAACTGCACAATATTTAATAAGCATTGTGCTATAATTTAATATTTAAAATGTTTTAAAAATTTCTTAGATATCTTACATTGAATTCAATAAGCTTCAGTCAAATCCATGCATTTTCTATGTTTGATTTTGATCCCATTGCCTAGAATTGCAGTCCTTGGACTTCCATCACATGCAAATACAAACTTGAAGTGATCACAGATCTGATATTTTGACATGTCAATCTAAAAAGTTGCTAAATTGTGCTGAGGTGGTCAGGTCTCCCAAGAAAAAAGGAATGCATTTAAATTTGATTCTCACATATGGAAGAGCATTTATATGGTGTGCTAGCTTTTTTGCTCTGATACACTTCTGTCAGCTTCTATGCATCTTTATCATTTAATTCATATCAGTGCAGAAGGTGGGGCAGAGTGGTCCCTTAGGGTGCCTAGAGATCTGCAGGATGCCTGCTCCTATGCACTGTAATTACAGTGCCTTGGAGCAGACTCAGTTACTTGAGTCTGCTGGAGCATACTAATTAGCATGCTCCAGCAGCCTCAACGTCTCATGTATTTAGTGTCCCTGCACTTCAAAATGGTGTCAGGGGTGCTTTAACTAAAGCTTGTTGAAAGAGCTTTAGTTAAATTCCCCCACTGCCATTTTGAAACTCGGGACACTGAATACACAAGATGCTGCAAGCACTTTAATTAGAGCGGCTCCTGAGAGCTGGTCTGATTAAAGTGCCTCCCACTCCTGGAGCATACACAAAGATGCCCTGATAGATTAATTTGATCAGGAAGACACCACTTTGCCCTGTCTTCTGCCTATGTCAGACTAATGCAGCTAACTACCTCTCTGTGTTCATACCACTGTTTATTTGTGTGCAATAATGCAACTTGTGCTCTCTCTTTTTTTTTAAGACAGTCTTTCTTAGTAACTTTGGGTGTAGGTCTTGATGTTCAGTTTACTAAAAGGGCCCTTTACAGTCCATTAGCAGTGTAAATGATAGTAACTTTGCAGTGTAATTTTACAGGAGCCTTTATTCAAATGAATATCTATTCCACATTCTTTCCAGAAATTTCCCTCTAACTAAAGCAGTGCTTATTTACATACATTTCACTGTACTCCCAGTGTCTCTGAAAATTCATTTTTATTCAGGGGATATACATAGAAGTGCTTGTTTGCCTATTATTTTCTTATAGCTTCGTAAAGCTTTCTATGATATTTTCTTTTGAGCTGTTTCAGTCCTCTGGTCCTGCATTTTTAATAAGGGCTCACAGTGCTTTTCTTGTGTTCATGTATACTTTTACTGGTTATTTGCGTCATCTATCTGGGTGACATCAAGCAGAGCATATGCTCTTAACAGCATATCTGAAGTTACTAGATGATTTCCTGGAAGGAACTACAAGGTCATATTATTCTTTTGTAATTCAGAAGTAACCATGCATTCTCCATGTCACATCTCTAAGTCCTTTCTTGTATATTCTTGCATTCAGTAAGTAAAGGTCAGCTTCAGCTTTTCAGCTACAGCCCTACTAAAAATCATGAGACCTTGTATTGCCTCATAAAAGGCCAATATAGTTTGCTCTTTTAATTTGCTCTTGCATTTTTTCTGCTGCTCTCATAATTCTTGCAGCAGATATTACAGGACACCATCTATTTATGCCTCTAAAGCAGTATAGCTTTCAGGCTCCTTTGAAGTATGTGAGGATGGTTTGATCTGTTTCAGTGGGTCAAGCAGTTGTTAAACTGGTGCTGGTGTCAGTACATCCTTCAGATTCTTGTACTCATGCTGTAGAAGCAAAGCTCATTCTGTAACTTTGTGAAGTTAGGTGAGTTTAAGTTACATAGGTATGAATTTAGTGATGCAGTTCAATCTGATTTGCAGCCTCTGAATTTTATTTCCATCTATGTATGTTGCAGTTTGAATTTTAGAAACATTAAGCTGGATGGCCAGTTTCTCTCCTAAGGGGGTTATTTATTTATTTATTTTGATTGACATTTAGCCTTGTTCATTTTGGCTAGGTGTACAAACAGTCAAAAAGCCCAAGGGTGAATCAGTTCAGTTTTTGCAGGTTAGTCTAAGATGCACAGATTAAATTGAAACAGAAGTGAACAGACATTTACCTTTGCTTGCGGTGGCTCAGGCCAGAAGTGAGGGGATACTAGAGCATGGCTCTCTGGCTGTGTTCTCTTCCTTTTTCTGCTGTCCTTGAGGTCTCTGGGATCTGTAGTCCAGAATTACAGCAGCAGGACTCTGCGGGGTTGCTCATCACATCCTTTTCCTGTTTCCAGGTGCCTCTGGGATTTGTAGTCCACAGTTGCAGCCAGCAGTAAGTTTGAGCAGAGGAAGGGGTGTCTAGCCCCCCTCCCTGGCCCCAGACCCCAACCAGGGTTTGCCTGGGGGGTGGGGGGAGTAATTCCCCTCCTCCCCCCCCTCAGACTAAGCTGCATCCCCAGTCAGCTAGCTCTTACTGCTTTAGCTAGGGACCAGAGGGGTGGGGCCAGCCCTGCTCTCTGTAGCAGACAGCCCAGCCCAGGGTTGCAGACCATGCTGGCATGCGAGGGGATTGTGATTTAACTTGAACCAGGAAGGGGTCTGGGACAGAAGTTTCATAAACCAGTTTGATCCAAATCAGATAAGTCTAATACTACATTCAAACAGGTTTATCTTAAACCAGTTTCAGCCATTTTTAAACTGGTTTGTGTGCACTGAGCTTCTGTTCTGTTACAGATTTAAACCAGTTTCTGATCATTTAAACTGGTTTATGTGTAACTTCTGCCCCTAGCCTTTAAGGCTGTGTCTTGTCCTGTCACTGACCAAAATTACCTCTGATGTTCAGTAGTGATGCTGCCTTTTGTTGTCATGCCAGATGTTGGATTTCTCTTCTTTTGTTCTAACAGGGAGGATGTTAAGCAGTAACTATCCAAAATTTATTTTCCTTCCCTATTTCTTCAGTTTCTCTTGACCAGAGAGAGAAAGCTAAAGAAAAAGGCAGAAAACTCATGCATTCAACTGTCTCTCCTGCAAAATTACTGTTTCCTTCCTTCACTGACAGAAAATCATCTTCCATTTCAATAGAGCAAGGCATTAGTGAAACAATTTTAGGCACTGGGACAAGTAGAGCTAAATAGGGAAAGAAACGCATCCAAGAGGGCAGGGGTCTTGCTGATGCAGCAGCAAAGCAGTGTCATGGCTGATACAGTCTCCAGAGTTGGAAAAATCAACCTGCAAGAGAAGTTTTTCTGTTGGGAAGAGAAATTCTCCCCAGGTCAGACTCAGAAGATTCTCCATTTCTTCTACGGAAGAGTGATCTCTCTTTCTTGGACCCATGACAACACCCTTTTCCTTGCTCAGTAAACACAGAAATCTCTGTGAAGTTTAGTATCTGCTGAAAAGGGTCCCCTGGATAGGAAATACGCATATTTTGCTGAGAAATTATTTTATTTAAGTGCCATTCTGTTTTTATAGTTGCTTACTAATTCATATTCAAGTTAGTTAGTTCTAAGTTCTTGGCAGTTTTCTTGTGTAAAGCCTGTAGGAGTTGGTCCTTGATCTACTTTTCTTTGATTTCAGAAATTAATGAAGAAATTGTCATTCTCAAATTTTTCATATTTCATTTTACTGAATTTATGTTTTCTTATTTCTGTTGTAGCAGCTGAATTAATATCTAAGTAGAATGACCAACCAAAAGGAAATCATATGGAAATAGACAAGACAGTTAATTTATTTATGCTTTATATTTCCTTGCCACAATGCAGCTATGGAAAATAGTAACTTGGAATTAGGAACTGCTATCTGTAAAAATTAACCAGATAAAAATTTTCAATTTTCAACAGGTGTGATGCTGTCAAATGCGATGGTAAATTCAGGTCTGACATCATTTAAAAAAATTGAAGATACAAATGCAAGAGAACTTGAATTGGTATTTTGAAATTTTTTCTTTGTATATTCATATGATAAAGAAAAACACTTAACGTTAACATTCAATGAATTATGAATACGTTTTTACATATCTAATTTATAATCAGTAGATTCAGTTGTTTTGAAAGTTTTGTTTTCAAACATTTATCAGATTAAAGTAATATGCATTTATTTCACAAAATGGAAGTTGATTAGTTGGATTATTACGTTGATATTTTGTTTCTTTTTGAGGACTTTTTCAGTATTAGGAAGATAACAGATCAAATTCAGAAATTTCATCATCTCATGGGTAAAGAGGACAGTTAGTAAATTTGGATTTTCTTTCTGGGAATGTGCTTTATCATCTCTCCTCTTTGCCCATCTTAAAGATGAAATTCTGGAGTTTAAGCAATTATTCTTATAGTAGTAGATATGTATAAAGTGAAATCCTGGCCCCACTGTAGTAAATGAAAAATACTCCTTTTTATCTTTGGAACCAGAATTTTACTCCACATGTGGGAGGCAGCCACAGCCTCCTCCCAGCTCTGCTGCTGCCTCTCACTCCTGACACACTGCACCCCACCCCCCAGCCCTGCCTGTGCCCCCCAACTCCACCCTGGATCTGCCCCTGCCC